TCTAATGGTTTAGCCGTCTTTATTATTTCCGATGGTCGAGGGTTTGATTCTCACACGATATAAATATTTTTGTATTCATAGGTCTGGGTGTTTTCAATGTATCTATATTAAGTAAGTTTCATCTGGCTGTTGTTTAGTACAAGTTGTGTTATTACTTTGCTCCTGGGTTATTATTATTTTACAATGATTCTTTTATCGCATCTTTGTGATGTAAATTTAGCAGCTTATTAGAGAAAAATTAAAAAAACTTGAAAACCTTCGTGGTTAAATTTTAGTGAATTACCTTACATTTCAATTCCATCCTTCGCTGCTGCCCCATCGGTGTAATCCATTGACTTGGATTTTCATAATATATACAGTGATAGTATATAAATACTTAGGTACTTATATACGGCTATAAAAAAATAAATTGAGTCCATTGCAGGTATATGTGAACTAGACCTTTCGCGCCCGAGATATCGGTTAATTTTATTGAGATAAATGAAAATCTCTCTTCACGTCTTTCATTAATATCCTTTCAGCCATACAGTCGTAAAAAAATCAAAATAAAAACAGACATATACCTACTTAGTCAGTCATTCATACACATTCTATAATATTAGTATTTTAAATATTAATCTTATATTTAGTTGGTATAAAACTGTATTTATTCAAACAATATAGTTTTTTTAATCAGACTTGTATACAGTATTGTTTAATTGATTATAATTATTCTTGAATGCCCTTCACTTTGATGTACCTACGCATTGTTGACTTTATTCTTGTTCAGAAGGAAAAACCCAACTATTTTAATAAGAACCACCTAATCATTATTCATCTGCACGTAAGTTAAAATTACAGAATACAGGTATGTAGGTATCTAATCATGACTATTTTGCGGTATAAGCTTACTGTAGTCAAATACTATAATTTAAAACAAGCGTAGCATTGTCATTAGATATCCAGGTCTGTAGCTCTTTATAAACTCATTGGAGAAATCTATGAATCTATAATATATACATATAAGTTATATAAAAGTAAAACAATTCAGGATCTAAAATATAATAATTATAAAGCGCTAATTTTTTTAATGGATTAACGTAGAATTACCTGGTGGAATTTAAAAAAATGATTTATTATTAGCCGATAAAATTATTTGTACTTTAATAAAAATCATAATATTCCTACAGTAATTTCACCCGTACGTCAAAAATATTAACCTGAAGCCATGCAGACTGAGATTTTGTTGAAAGTTTACCTCATTGTATTAAAATTCGGCTCCCTCACTTTGGGGTTCTTTTTTTATAACTTATAGTAATATATCCTAACTAACAGGAGTAATATGTAGGTAAATAACAGGACATAACTTTAAATAGATTGTTCCAATTTGGAGAATTAATTTTCTTTGTTTATTAAGGTGCACAGTGAAGCTGATTTTATGAAAATAAAAAAAAATACTTCTAAGTGGATTGTACTCTTACAAACCGATTATATTGACTTCTTATTTTTTAATCTACAAAAGTGAGTGCAACTTACTATCTATTGATATTTTACTATGATTTCTTATTTTAAATATTAATGGACCTCGAGGACTTCACGAGAATGTTTACATTGAAGTCCATGACACCCTTATAACGTTACCATGAAGACTGTCTAATTCCTTTCATTTCATTTATATGATGTATTTCTGCATGTTTCAAATATTTGAATGCCAAGCTTCATAGATACATTAATAAAGGAAGGAAGTTATAAATGATAATGATAAAACTGGTTTCTTCCACGTGTTTACAACCGTGTTATATAGGTATCATTTGATAATAATTATCTAATGCATATATATTCCACGACCATTATAAAATGTAATAAGAGTTCCTAGTTGTGATAAAGACCAATTATAAATTGTTTATGTAACCTGGTCTGAATAAAGAAACCTATATATCTTACTAATATTATAAACGTAGAAGTTTGTGAGTAGGTATAGATGGATAGATGGTTGTTTGTTACTCTTTCTTACAATAAAATGGCTTAGATATACAAGAGAACCCATAGTCCACATATTTCGTACGGATAAAACCGAGGGCACAGCTAGGTTATTATATGCTAGCTTCTATGAGCGAATTTATCTGTGATTTTTTTAAGATAAAAACAGCCTATGTCCGTCCTCGTGACACTATGTACAAAATATTTTACTAAAATCTGTTCAGCCGTTTAGTCATAAGTAAGGTATCAAACAGACTGACACTTTCGTATTTATAATATATTTGTGCCATTCTAATGACACTGTATCCAAAATTTCATCAAACTCAGGCTATTAGTTTTTGGGTGAAAGAGTAAAACTTTCTAGTTTAAAATGTTAATAGAATTAGCATTGTTTGTAGGTATTGTTTTCTTTGTTGTTACCTACCAACCAAAAATAAACAAATTTAAACAACTGAATCATGCAAAATACTTTCTTTTTCCATGTGAGAAACCTGACGGCGTCGTGACTAATAATGTGAGATAAATTTAGGCAATTACTTCATTGATGTTTATGAATTGGCACAAGAGCTGCAACATTTCTCCACTTTTCCTTTCGCTTTTATAGAGCAATAAATACTAATAGATGAATGAATCGCAGCGGCAAATGCGTTCCATTGTATAACGAGGTTCGATTCTGGGTCAGTCATACTAATATTATATATCTTTCCTTTAACCTTTTGACAACTACACTTTATAGATACTATGGATGTACGGAATTAAATTGACTGTATGACGGTCGGCCATAGATGTTCTATGTCCATTTATTTCAAGAATAGCAGACAACAGGTAACAGCTACTTGACAATGTAAACTTAGCTCAAACTACATTATTATTTATTTTTTCTAGCGTGATTATATGATTTTTGGTATGATTTTATAGCACTTATGAAAACTATTATGTATTGAAAACCTAGGTAGTAATATTAGTAGCATTGACTGTCAGATTTTTGCGTACTGTCTTGAAATCTATCGTGGTTAATTTCTGGTAAATTGGCCGCGATGGTATGTAACTCACTAGTAGCCTAAAAGTGCACCATATACGCGTTTCATTATCTATACAAAAATATAGATAGAAAAAGGAGATCAAATTGGATCAGAAGCCGAATATAAATAAAAAATTACAGGAAACGCCTAACTCAGAATGACTACACATCTAAAATATACAAACAATAACTTTCCCTAGTCTGGTGAAGAAATGGTAACAAAGAATGACAATTCAAAAGTGAAAATTTAGTCGTGAATTACTTCAATTTTAAAGGTTAACCGCACAATCTCGCTTAACCCCATTAATCGACACTGGCTAACGAATACAACTATCTGATGTGTTTACTAATGACTATAATATTTACTACTGCAATTGTTCACGCTATTTTTATATCTAAATATGTTCAAACAAAAGAGATATAGTTAGCGATTTCTAACAGAACTTTACGCAAGTTTTGGTGAATAATTTGAGTTGTTGTTTTAAACCGTATGTTCAATACAAAACTTTTAATAATTGTATTTTTATAGACTGATGTGATAAAAATATAATATATATAATATAATCAATATCATTTTATTAAAATAAAAACAAAATTATATTACCTAAATAGGTATTATCAGATAATCTTTTGTTAGTGAAGTCAATTAATTCAATGTAACTTTTAAAAATAATAAAAGTACTCAAGCTACTATTAGGTTTAAGTTAGATATACATAGGCATATATCTAACTTAAATCTAATAACTATAATAAATTTTGCAAATTGGAAATCAATACCTATACTATAAAAATGTCTAGCAAATAATCTTTACTTATAATCTTTGCACTCAAACAGAAAGCGTCTCACGAGTGCCCATTACAAGACCTTGCAATTTTTGCAAGAAATTGCGCGAGCTGTCCGTTTTCACACTGCGCGTGCCTGTTAACTGTAAACACATTTCTTTAAGCTATCAAGGCACGTTTTAAGAACATCCATATACTTATTGGCATGGTACAGGTATACAATAGCAGTGACAGCAAGAGGTTGCTAACATACACTATCACCAGCCAGCCTGTATTCATTCACTCGTGCGACATTCCGTTAGCCGGTTACTGATTCACTTTCCTCTACGCTATGCGCACGATGTTATAAATCGCAACAAAAAAAAACAATTTACTGAACAATCTCATCTGTCATTATTTTTGGAGGGAAATTTAAAGAAAAATGGCGTCAAAATTTTTATTATTTGTTATCACTGTGTTTCTTGTGCTTTCTACGTGCGAAATGAAAAGGAGAAAAATACATGATTACCCTACGGAGAAGCAGTTGGTTTTACAAAGAAAGGAAACTACACCAGTGGATTTTTCAAGACTCGTGGTCATGCGATTAGTGTACGGTTTTGCTAAAGTTCTTGGTTTCGAAGAACCAATAAGTGATGTGTTGAATGGTGCATTTGTCCCACCAGGGGCTGATGATGGTGATGATTTTGACGATGACGACGATGATGGCTTATTTGATGATTATTAAAATTCAAATGTCTTTTAGTAAGTAAAAATTACACCAAATATACACTGCATTTATACTATTTATTTTTTACAAGACTTTATAATAAAAGTTGGATTTCGATTAGTCTAAAGTGAGGTTTAGCTATACTGTTATAAGTTATTTTCTATTGACTGTTAGTGGTGTTTTGAAATATTTTATAGCGTTGTTTTAATTAGGTAATTTAATCTTTTTTATTGTATCATTCAGCATTTACTTGTTAACCATGTACCTGGTAGTCATAATTTTTATTTTTAGAAATACTTTTTCTACATTCTTTATTCGATTGTATTTTTTTATGTTTACAATGATAGATTATCTGTTCTACATTGGTTTTAACGATAAGGTCTCCATTTGTTAAACACATTTTACAAAGTATTATTTATGTACTTATTTTAGTTCGCAATAAAGAATTATATTATTCTTAACAGTATCGAAATAAAAAAATCTTAATATCAAGATTTGGATACTTAGGTAAATGTAAGTACCAAATTTTGAAGTAAAAATACAATTTAAAATCATAAAATATATTTAATCATAAATTATCATTATCACATTCCAACAACCAGTGAGAATTATTATCAACAAATACTTCATTTTGCGTACAAATCACATCATCATCACTATTTTCATTAATTTCATTGTTTTCTAAAATATATCCAATATTAACTAATTCAGTGTCGTCGATATGACATCCTTTCATTTTTCTAATTAAGTCACCCCATTTTAATGGTGTATCGCAAAATGGACAGTTTCCTTGAATAGGCACATATTCTCCAGGTTGTAAAAATAAGTCAGCTAAACAAGTTATATGTGCCAGTAAATCACAATTAGTGTTTAGGCAAGTCAATTTCGATGAAGAATTAGTGATGTAATTAGAACATAACAAACATTCAATATGAGTGCTGTTACTTGATTCCTGAACTGATTTCTGTAAATTTCGACTCTTAACCGAACCATGGCATATCCTCATGTGCTCTGGTGGTGTTCTTTCAGTCTGAAAAACGCAAACTTTATTACTTTTTATGTTAGTTTTTACTTTTTTTAGAATCATTGATATATACCTAAGATAACTTTATAACTTTTTGAAAATATGTAGTATCTCAAAAAATAAATTGTAATGCAAGGTAGTGTACTCTAAAAGCCGCGTATAACACGATTTCATACGCGATATTGGAACCTGACATATTAGGAATTAATATTACAAATATATTTGTGCATTTAATAGGACCAATAGAACCAGGCGCCAAATCGTGTCCTGTGACGCTCTATTGTAATAATTAAATATAGAATCAAAGGAGGTGAGATTTCTGTGATTTTTAAAATCAAAGAAATAGCAGCACTGGCAGGAATTTTGGTCTCTGCCAAATTTTTTTTTTTTATTTCCTTTTTAGTTTTAATGACGTGTGATTTTATATGTATTAATGGTGAATTGAGAACGTTGTTTTACTGTACCAAATTCAATAAGGCGCCTTGCATAGAGCAAGAAATCATGAAAAGTAATGCCTCTACCTACTTTACTTTTTGTTAGTGGCGAATGTTATTAGTTAATGGTCTAAAATTGCGAATGCTATTATTATTAATTCTTAATATAGAGATAATAATATACGAAATTTCTGTTTACTTTTTTTTAATTATTAAAATATAGTTAGATCTACTTACAGGAAATTCTTCATAATAATCCTTTTCTAGCCACCTAATAATTAATGGCAGGCGATACCAAGGGCCCACTCTGAGCATCTCGGTTAATATGCGAAGCTTGAATTGAAATTCTGTTTCTTTTCTGGGTATTTTTTTAAGGTTTAAATGTTGTAGTCTTATAGTTTTCGTTGGGTTCTGCCATGCCCATTCAAACTGAAAGATTCCTAACTATTTAATACATAAATTAAACATATATTTTTTTACTTTTTACTATTTTAGGTAGATACTCGGAAATTAAACAAAAAATTGTATTAATGAGTATGAATTTATTCTTTTGTTCTGCCTGATTAGTATGTGAAAACATGAGTTTATTTATGTACGTTTATTAATTGTTTAATAAATAGGAATGTAAAATGGTACAAAAAAAATAAGGAATTTGTTACCATTAATTTAATTGATTAGATTTGAGAATTAAATCAACAATTATTATAAAACTGTTCATGTAACTTCTGATTTTAAATTAATTACTGTATATGTAAAGATTCTGTAAAAAATTCAACTTTTTATAAGTTACTATTTATCTAAATTTAATTTACTAACATAAAAACTTACATGTTAATTATATATAAATTACCTACATTATAATAATGATTATTTTTATTAAATATCTTTACAGCATTGGATAATCCTTAACAGCCAATGTTGGAAACATTTTTATATATCTTTTTTATTGTCTATGTTTTTTATAATAACTATAAGAATATAGTTGTATATATGACACTAGTCTATACAATATTCCTTTTCATAGCTTGTCTTGTCTTTGATCTCCTTCTTTTACAGCCAATCTTCTTTACATTTCTATAGCTTAAGTTTTTGAAATATAGGTATATATTAGTATAATCACAGATAATTTAATAGAACTATATATACAATAATATTTTTTTTGCATTAAATATGTACCAGGTTGCTCAATTACTTTGTACTTTTATGTATTAAGTAATGTAAACACACACTGAACCATTTAAAAAATTGTTAATTATAATAATACAAACAATGTTACTACTTGTATGTAAAATAATTAAATATATTAAATAATTACTTACTCTTAATGCTGATATGTTATTTGGAAATCCATGAACAATTAACACCATTTTCCTGCAGTTATAAAAAGTTTGGCGTTGTTGATTATAAATTTGAATTTAATGTATGTTAATTTTTATTTAATTTAACATTGAGTGTATGTGTGCAACCAAATTACCTGTGGAGCCAAAGTCAATTACTAAAAAATTAAAATAGGGCTTCTATGTATGAATAACATTAAATTTCACCTAAATGAGGTGAATAAATAAAAATAAAAACAATAATTAAATATTTACATATGAATAATGAATAATTAAAATGTAAATGATGGATATTGTAAACATACCACATGTTTTGACTACACAAATAAATTATTCATTCATTTAAATGTTAAGTAAGAGTTAAATAGATATAATAGTACAAGTTTAATAGATAGTCTGATTCAAGAGGAAGAGTTATATATATAATACATGTACACCCGTGCGAAGCCGGGGCGAGTAGTTAGTAATTTATAAAATACACCCAGGCGAAGGCAGAGTTTATGTAAATGAAATAAAAGAATTACCATGGTCCTCTATTACTAGTTCGGTATGCTCCTCCGGCCCAAGTACCTCTATTATGCTGCATTATCCTGCGATTCGGATCCCTTGTATAGCCTATGTATGTTCTACCTTTAAATTTTGGATTTATACAGTAGAGTAGATAAACTCCAAAGAAATCCTCCACTACTTCTGCTTGCATTTTTTAACATTAAAATAAAACAGGAATGAGAAAATTAATTAAATTTAAAACTTTGTTATTTTTTTTAATCTGCTTGTTTTGTATTGTTTTTTTTTTATTTGGTTCTGTTTTCCCTTTTCTGGGAAAGCCAAAAGGACTCAGCCCATACAGCCTGCTTGTCGAAAACTGACAAATAATCTTATTAAAGTATAGTAATAGAGGGATTGTGACAATCAAACTGACAGCTGATTGACAATAAGATTACTGTTCTATGTCTATCAATTACTTATTATTTACCTCTTATTAGACTATAAAATGATCACTATTTTATATTCTTATTACATAAAATGAAAGGTAGAAATATAGAACTAAATAATTATTAGTTACACATTCAAATTTAAGTAGGTAGTTTAGAGAGTAGACATTTTATTATAACCTTCTTTAATTAACCTCAAGCGATACCGGCTTCAGCTTCAAGATTAGTGTTTCTTCAATATTATATATTAATAGTAGTACTGATATTAATAAAAAAATGAGCAATACAAATTATTCCCTATCTGAAGGTGATATAATCTCAGAAGAAAAATCATCAAGCAGCAAACAGAACATTTGCGGTTTGTAAGTAAATTAAATTATTTATCTATTACTATTTTTTTTACTTAAGACTTATTATTATTTGATTAATAAAACTATTATTTGAAATATTAATAACTCAATATTAATTGAGTAGGTTATATGCTATTAGGGATCTTGTTGTAGCAAAAGCGAGTACTCATTAAGTTTAATATTCCAATAAATAAAAAAAGATAGTCTTTTCCTAAATATCACTGCATATAACACAATACAGAGTTCCTGTTACAAATTTAAAGTACTCCTCTGTCTCTCTAAATTTTTTGTGGAGACTGGGCTTATCAATTGATAAATACATTAAAAAAAATTTGGGACCATCAGGATCTTTATATTACATATATATGTAACATGTGGGTAGGTGATGATAACTGTATTTCAAACACATTAATTAGACAATCATACAATTAGAATAATTGTTGTTATTAAATTTGTTTATATATATAACTGGAATCACCAATATATGATGATGAAGAATAGCACCACTGACAATGTGACATCCATGATACCCCTAATGCATTGCTATTATTGATTGCTTATATTGTACCAAAACATAGGTCAGTGCTGCATTAGAAATAGAAGTGGCATTGGTACCAACAGACGACTATGCAAATTCTACCTGTAACAATTGCTATTAATTGGGCTTGCAATAATTAAATGCTGACTTTCCAGATGTAACACAAATGTTAGTAAGTATTGCTGTCCTCGTTGCGAAGTATACTATTGTTCATTAGACTGCTACAAATCAGAGAAGCACAATGAATGCTCAGAAAGCTTTTATAAAGACTGTGTACATGAAGAACTTGGCTTTTACCAAAATGATGACGAATCAAAGCAAAAAATGATTGATATATTAAAAAGAATGCAAAATCAAGATGTGGACATAGATATACCTGAGGAACTATTAGAAGATGGTTACAGTGACATAGACTCTGATGATGACGAACATATAGATTTACATGATAGAATAAAGGATCTCAACCTTGATGATCCAGATGCAGTATGGAGTGCACTGACTGAGGATGAGAGAAATGACTTTGAATCATTATTGAATCAGGGTGATGTGGGTTCTATAATACCTCAATGGAAACCATGGTGGGTGTACAGGAAAGAAGAAAAGCTTGTAGAGGATATGAACAATCATGAAAAGGAGGAAATATTCAAAGATTGCCCACATTTGAAGACAGTACCTCCGCTTTCATCACTGACTGTAAGTATAAATTAACATTGATACAAACTCAATAATACAAACTTTGGAAAATATACTCTGAAGTTTTAGCTTTAGTCTATTTTCATTAGTGGCATCGTGATGTTACATGATTGATAATATGATGTTTGGGATCTGTTTAGGCGACAGTTACCATCAGGTAGCCTATCAGCTTGTTTGCTATTTAACTTACATAAAAAATATGCTGATATTGTACTTGATACACTAAAGAAAAGTATTTTTTAACATACTCTTTAAATCTTTAGAATTTTATGCAATAAATTAAGACTTATCCACATTAAATTGCTTTTCTCGGAAAGACAAAATTACCAATTATTTTGCTTGCTGTAATATTATCTGCAATAAGTATCAGTTTGCTTTAAAATTTCAGAGGACAGAACCATCACCATCTATAAAATTTAATATCACAAATATTATAGCATCATACACATTATTAATGAGATATTTCAATGGTGAAATTGATGCAGTTGAGGGCACAGTATATTTATTAAACATTTGTTCTAACTTGGACACTAATATGAACTTTGAAGATCTAGCCACGGCTGTAGAGTCGGTCACACAGAAATCACTTCAGGTTTGTTTTGAATTGCGATATTCTGCTGTTTTTTTTTTGCAGCCGTTATAATTAATATTCGTTATAAATATAAATCCATATTACATAATATTCTTTTAATGTGTATATATATTATAAATATGAAAGAGTGTATCTTTATTACTTTTCACTACAATACAACTGTGATCTTATTTAAATTTGATGCGAAGACAATAATATCTCAGGACAATTCACAGAACAACAGAGCTAAGTAGAGCTTGTATTATGAGTGCTATAAAATTGATACAAATACAAACTCTTGAATAGAAATCCTTGTATCATGCGAAGAATCGAAACCACGACCTTCGGAAATAAGAAGACTAAACCGCTAGACCACTGACGCCGTCAAGTTAACAAGATAGAATGTGTTATGGGACAAAAGAGCTTCTCTTTTTCTCAAAGCAGCACAATATCGAGTATCAGCTAGTAGGTAATATGTATTTTATTAAATTTATTATTTACAGAGTAATCTTATCGAAACGGACAAGAATAGTATAGAAGTAATGAAACATGACACATTTCTAGTATTACAAGGACCCAGTAAAGAAAAGAAATTACACTATTGTAAAGCAGTTCTTTCACATATACACAGCTTACTTACCAAAGCAAAGGATGCTGAAAAAAATTCAAATGACAGTAGTAAAAGCAAAAGTGAATTCTCCAGGAAGTTTCCAGAACACAAAAGGCACCATTTACCCAATCTAGATATAAGTAAAGTAAAGAGATGTCTAAAAAAATTAGAATATTATTTATCTTATATTGAAAGCTTTGATGTGGAGTTTTAATTTATAGAGTCAAATTTCTTCATCCAGTTGTTACAAATTTGTTTGTTTGTATAGCTAAATTACTAGGGCAGAATGACATCTAAAGGGATAAGTTCAATTGACAGAGTGCCTTGTCTTGCATACTCTTTTATTTTTTTTCTTCTAATTGACACACTAAACAATTTACAACCTAATAGTATCATACTATTTCAAAATAACATATTCCAATTGTAAGAATAATTCTTGACAATTTTGACTATCGCCAAAATAAAAATTTTAGACGTCAGAACAGTTACTTTTTTTTAACCCTACTATTGTATAAATAGCATAAACAAATAAAACTTCGCATAAAACCTTTACCAAATATTATATTTCCATCAACAACAAGAACTTTAATCACAGGAATGTCAAAAATAACATTTATAATATTTTTTCTACATACATTATGAAACATTAAATTATGACAATAATCAACAATACTGTCCTACACGAACCACAATACATTCTCCATATTTTAAATGTAAATAAAAGTGCAACAAATACAAAAGCCAATAGTTCTTTTCAATGTTCATATTTACGCTTAATATATGTACTTGTACCTTTAATTTCATAACGAATAAAGCAATAAATGTCATTATTTAATATGATTATATATGACTGAAAATATATTTTTCAACTCTAAAATATTATTGTAATTTACACTTTATTTTTGTGACAAAGTGAGGTATAGTAATACACAAGATCAAATGTAGGAAAACAACATTTTTTAAAAATGTTGGTTTCATATTTGGGATATCGTAAGGAAGGACACCACGACACAGTACAAAGTGATCGAATTTTTGCTTACATATTATCATTTGAAAGTCTAATTTACTACATTTCAATGTTCAACTACTTCTAGCAAATATTGACAAATATTATCAATGTTTGTTCTTCTATACATACACAGAGAGTACAGTCACATGCAATTATATGTAACAGTAAAAGTACTTTGTCACAGCTATATTACTGACAAATTTCGAACATTTTTACATACTACCAATAATATAATACTGCGACATGGTACAAAAGCGTTGCATATTCGCGACTGTAAGTCCATATAAAATAATGACTGTTATAATAAATATTGCTTTCATTTAAAGTTTCAAACTTGCAATAAATATATAAATATGTAATTAAGTATACTTACAGGGTTGCTACAGCGCTGTCTAAAGAAAATTATGTTAAAAAATTATACTAGTAAATTGTACTCAACATTTTTTTCCAATATAATTATAGAAAGAGGAAAATATATGTGAATACATTTATTCTTATTAAAAAGAATAAGTGAATCTTTCTGTTGAATTAAATTTACTATGATCAAAAGTTAATATATTTTTCTTCTAGACCCGCTCTTCTATACCTAAATAAACCAAAAATATTCTACACCAAAAAAAAATGTGAATTTGTCTTTTTTTATTACGATATATACAGATTTAGATTAGTAATACTCGTGATATATAATAGAATATTTTAGGACTAAAATTAATTAACAGACGATGCCTGCTGCCCCATCTAAAATGCCTGTAAATATTCAATTCCATCTACCGCTTATAAAGACGTATGAATACGCATTAAAAATTATGAATCTTAAACAGTTTACTTTGTATATTTATTTCTCACGTTAAATTTACTCATATTATTTAGTCATTAAATTATCGCATACATATCATAGAATTTTAGGGAAAGAAAACTTATGTCCATATAAAACAGTCATCTAAAAAAAAATTGACTAACTGAGTACAGTATAAATTCTAGCGGCATGAAACAAAGTTTCCTTGATATAGCAGGCATCCACATGCGTACCGTCAGCTGAGCTACACCTATACTTATTTACCGATAGCGTAAAAAAGTACATTCTAACTCTAATGAAGACAATATTTGTATTCCAATACTTCCGATATATATTCTCTATTCTTAATGAAATATTTAATGAAGTCAGTATAACAAGTTAGCCTCACGAGTACAAAAACGTATTATAAATATGTTCCATTATTGTTCAGAGGTTTATAAATAATTTACACATTACATTAGAATAAACAGATTCATCACAAATTTCTAAGTACAAGGGCTACTTGAATAAAGATTTATATTACATTTTAAAACAATTAACATCTATCGAATATAAACACGTTTCATACAATTGAATGTTCAATGGGCTTGCGTAGACGAGGTCAGTTCTTAGTCCGGTCACACGTCATTCGGTTCAACGACAATTATTCTATGCAACTCCGTTTTGATTGGAGCATGTCCAATGAGGGCGGGGCGTAGCTACGGATGCGCCAATCGTAACGGAGTCGCATAGCTAATTGTTAAATTGAACAGACTAATGTGTGCCTATGGTTCGGGATTTAGCAAATTTTGACCGACCGGCATCTTACTGCTTTCTGATCGATTGTAATTTTTTTCCGCAGCTAAGGAAATGTTTGCAACTACACGCACTACGGAAAAATAGCATTCCATTACTATACATAAATAAGTATGCTGACAAAATAATAGTACCTTAGAACTAACGTGTCGTTCAGTTATGCCAACTAATAAGTACCCGGATTTCATCTGCGCATGCCATTAATAATACTAAATAACAAAGTCTCACAGTTGGTCATTTATCTAATTGTTTCTTGATACGTATAGAATCAAGTGAAAAACTACGCATAATACAAATTGTACTAGATGTCATTTTGTATAGTAAAGTTATTTTTTCCATTTCAAAAAACATATCTTAATCTCTTTCGCGTTTCCCATTTTTCTCATATCCGCGTGATTTTAAATCCTTACCCCTGACAATTTTTTACTGTACCAATGAATTAATGATTTTCAAAACTACGTGTTATTCGATTACAATTAAAAAAAATACTATAAAGAAAAATATATCTTCTGGCAGTGTTAATATGATATAACTTTATTCATTTAGAAAAAATATGAAGAAATAGCAATTCTATTGGCATAAAAATAAAACCGTCAATGATAGTTTCAGATAAATAAGATTCATTATCACATATACTAATAATTTGGACTTTCGTCCATCATAAAATTGTCTAAGCGTATTTTTTGTCTCCCGTAATGAAATATACTTTAACTAGAGTGATCTCAAGATATAGATTTAAATAAATGCCGCACATAATGTATACTACTGTGTTTCTTAAAAATTAACACAAAAACCTGTTCAGCATTGCTAAATTTCGACTTGCAGAGATATATGAAAATAAATCTAGAAGTATTTAGAGGTTGGAACAGACAGTCTTACATGTCGAATTATCGAATCAGCTTAGCGCGAACTTTTATAACTTATGTTCAATACAGAATCAGCCAAGTTTCTTAGTCTTTCTTCTTGCCACAATTCGCAAAGAGCTATAACATACAAATATTACTAAAACAATAACAAACAAAAAAAACCATTCTGTTAATGCGTTGTACAACTGGGTCTATTTTCTATTCAATTAATTAGAATCAGAATTCTTCTAAATATAATAAAAACAACTAATAACTAGCGTTCGCTTTTTTGTATACATTTGTGCAACACCTATTTATACATCTACATATAAGTGAAAGGATGAAGAAATTAATTCCCACCAAGAATTAAATAAATATAGCTTTTAAGAAACAAACTACCGCAATAGGAACTAATAGGGTATTTGATTTTGGTAGTACTGTATCATGTCATAAGTCCTAGTTCTGAAATTGAGGAACGAATTCCGAATGACGGAGAGCATGAACGCCGCCGCCTCCTTTTCTGTCGAGTTGGGCGCGAAACGGGAGCGAAGAAGACGAATAGTCTGCCCACGGAAACAGGGCAAACCTGTGTCTAACATGAGCGAGACCATAGAAATTATCGCTTCTTGGTACGGTCTGTGAATAAAAGATTAATATGAATTAAAATTCGGTAAGCAAATATTAATTACAGCTGTTCAAGATTTCGAAACAAACTCGCATATAACAAGTATAATGTTGTTATATGCGAATATGTTTCAAATGTATTTCGAGATTTTGGTAAAATTGTACCCATAATAAAAATAATTATAATATTATTTAAGAACCTTTCATGTTTCGACGCTATTACCAATGTCCTGGTCGCGAGTAGAATGACACAAATAATATTTCCATTTTATATCCCATTGAAATAATTTTAAATATGGGAAACTCTATGAAAATAAATAAAATGTGGTAAGATCCCGTGATTTTTTGTAACTGCATGTATAAATAATGACCGCGTCAAATTTAATACAGTAATAAAAAAAGTTAAGCTCGTTCAATTAGAATTAAATTATTATTTTAAAGTAATTTACATATGTCGTATCACAGTAATTAAGTTAACACATTATATCTAAAGTTTTTGCTTTTTACAATAATTGTAAAAGTAGTTGTTGTATTGTTGGTCGCTCAAATAATATAAATATATAATATGTACCTGACTGCTAAGAAGGCTTGCACGCACAGCTCACAGAACCAGCGGAAAGGTGGCGCTTCCATCTTGCCACCCATCACCATCACCATTTCGTCCGTCAATTTGATGTCAGGCTCGAATCCGAGATTGCCTCCCGGTGATGATTCGAACATGAAGCCAAAATCTATAATAGTATAATAAGTAGAGGTTAAAAAATAAAATTAATATGGTCTGCATTTCGAATATGCGTCTTTCGTATACAATAGGCAGTAATCGCTCCATAAATCCTTCCTAAGATTTTGGAGTGCATTCTGCACTAGCCCCCAATCATTTGATATAGCTGAAAAAGCCAGCTACGGCCAACATCATTAGAAAAGTTAGAAAATATTACGATATGTCTATGCTCCCGTGAAACATGATTACCTAGTGCCGGGTCCAATGTATAACAACTGTATTAAGTAAGTTAATCAGTTAACATAAGTTTGATATAAATATATATAATAATAAATCACGTAATTTTGGTTCTTTCCATTAGAAAGTTTCTAGTTGTAACTACCGTAGGGAGATAAGTTAATAGAGATTTTTTTTCGGTAAAATATTTATATATTATAGTATAAAACATAATTACGCTATAGATATAGATAGATTACCTATATGTATGATATGTCCATCCGTGTCAAGCATAATATTCCCGTTATGCCGATCTTTAATCTGCAGCAGGAATCCGATAACGCTGTATGCCGCCATCGACGTTACGAAGCAACGTCTCGCAGCCTAAAACAATTTTATATGTAACTATTTAGAACACCAAACTGGCTATCCATCTAAACGTAAGTGGTAACCGTCGCCTATATACATGGACGGCATAACAAACAAGCTCTTCATCTTAATAATATTAGTATAGATTTGACAAAACGGCAACTACTGTCTATAATTTAGATGAGTGATAAATATTTCAGAGATAATTTTAAATATCTCTCGGTATAATTAATATGTAATATACTAATGATAATAAAATATCTCAAGACAATTCACACATTGCCATGTAGTCCCAAGCTAAGCAAAGCTTGTTTCAGAGGCGATGGACAACTGATATAAATACATAGATATTTTTCTACTACATACAAACAATAATACTAGAAAGAAAAAGAAGTGTAATAATATAAACAAAACCAAACAGGATAAAATAAAATAAAATATATATATGAATTCAACGTTTTGTATCGTGCGAGAATCGAACCCGCGACCATCGGAACCGGTACGGAACGGAAACAATGCGGTGTGCTAAACTGCTAGACCACGAAGGTCGTCAATCATATTTTTACGATCTAATGTGTTATTTTTCTTATAGGTCTCTCGGATCCTTTATTATCAGTACATCATACCTGAAACTCTCTGGTCGTTTCGTCGCCATATTTCTTAATGAAATACTCATACATGCCGATGTCTGTCTGTCGTCCGAGCTGATCTCGAGACTTCGCATTTGGCACGCATTCTATTACACCACACTGTAGAAATATTATTATTACACTTTATACAAAACCGACTCTAAGAATCAGAAAGGTAGGACAGTTTATAAACATGTTATTGATAAAAAGAATAGGGTAGTTTTTAGTTAGATATTTTTTGTTACTTATAGTACATGCTGCTATAACCCTCAAAATTCGGATGAATATGTTACTACTATTTAGCGTGTACTTAGATAATATTATTTATATCGTTAACCGGGTCTTAACACGAATAATTTTATGGTAAATAAAGTTATCTTCTCTCTCGACGTTTCACAATATAAATAATATTACTAATATTATAAACGCGAAAGTGTGTGAGTATAGATGGATGGATGGATGTTTGTTTTGTTTGATTCACGCAAAAACTATTTCTGACGGACAAACGGATTTTAACGAATCTTAACAGTAATTTCACGCGAGTGAAACCGCGGGCACAGCTAGTGTGCAATACATACAAACGTTTAAAAATATAATTATCATATAAGTTTATGATTGTTCACATTTTCCGTATGTTCTATTCTATTGAAACCATACGAATAGTACATTATGACAAAACTTTGAACATATATTACGTCAATTGGATACTCACCCCAGGTGCTGTAGCGACGACTTTATAAGGGAAAAGATACAAATCCAACCCAACTTGTTGGAATATGTTCTTGAACAGTGATATAACTTGCAGCGCGAGCATATCTTGTCGCACGTCATCGCCCACTTTGAATAAAGCCGCTTGCCATGTCTCCGCTGCTATTGATGTGTATTTATCTTTGCCTTCCTCCTGCAATTTTTTTTTAAATTATTTTTCTTGTTTATTCATTTTCCAACACGCTTATTCAAGTTATAATAAGCAGCTGTATAATAACACTTATTATTATTCGCTCTGAAATATATTTTGATTTATAGTGGTAACATATGTAAATAATTTTGCGCGTGTTGCCATAAATAGAGAAATTAGGTACAATAAATATTAGGTAGGGGTCAACAATTATATTTAACATTTTTTGCAGCATTAAAGTATTTTCTATTACATCTCGGCTAAATATTGTCGGACGATGCTGTATGTACAACATCTCTTTATGTCTCTCGCATGTTTCACAAATAAATAATCTTGAATCTAGTAGTGTAATATATTAACGCATTTACAATGGTTCAGGATTCGATCTCGCTCTATAAATAATTATGTGTTATAGATATAGGTTGGAAGTGCCTCTGCTAGTCTACAAACGAATAGACTAATAATGATGATGTTTTCTACTAACCGCAGGTGGTTCTTCCCCGGATGCGACGGCCATAGCGACAGATTCCATTTCCGCTATACCATACTTGCGGACTCTGAACCGAGCTAAATATGGCGCCTTTGCCGCACTCTGCATAGGGGTACCTGAATACATAGAAATGGTATAATATTTGATATTTTAAACGACTTTAAAAGTAGCAAGGGGATTGTTAGTAATGTGGACTAATGATTCCATTGCTAGATACATCAGTAGTGTAAAATATTAGATTGACCTCCACGCGGTTCCCCCTGGATAACTGACCCGACCTTATGCTCATCTAATCGTCCTCCAATGGTGTCTCGCCTGTGCAAACCTAATGGTTTACACATATAAACTATGTTATGTATTTGTGTTTAGTCGAAATATAATTAATTTGAACTAAAGTCAAATATCACACCAAACACATAATTATTAAAACGAATCACGAAAAGTGATACTTCCTTTTTAGACTGTCGAATAAACTGTACACTTACCGCTTTTATAATCGATATCTACAACCATTGAGTCAGGATTTGATGGTAAATAGCACCCAGGTTGCACCTGTGAATTGAATATATTTATTACAAGCTGAAACTGTAACTTCATATGCATATAACCCCCCATATATTTGTTGTTTGTAAACAAAACACTAAATTAAAAAAATAAAAGTGAAAATGACCACAATTTAAACAAGGTAAAACATACCCAAATTGGTTTAGCCATTTCTGAGAACAGCGTGCACAAACGCTCAGATAAACAAACAAAAATCCTTGTATTAGATAGTTACTACATTCATAAAGAAGTTTTCCATAATAATTATAGAAATTTGATATTTCTTCAATGTGGGCAGCGATATGTTGCAATTTTATTATATATATATAGAAAATAAAAAATATCTTCTTTACATAACAAAAAAATCGTTTTTCTATTACTATACATGTACAGCACACTGACCCGCGCAACTTCGATTTTTCATTGCAGCTCCGCTAATAATGGTCGTAGCGTGATGTCATTATAGCCTATGATACTCACAAATAATCCCACATATTTACAAATTTAACCTCTTTATAATATTTGAATATACTAAAATCATGACCTCTAAATTCGTCTGAGAATTCATTACTTTATGAGTATTGTATATATAGCATTATATATAGTTTATTTCACTCTGGAATAATATGCATTTCAAACAGTGAAAGAACTTTACAAATTGGTTTTAGAGCAGTTTTTCCCAATAATTTTAGTTCAACCTTAGCATTCCTAAAATTCTTATGTCTAAGTAACATTTATAATATTAAAAATTGAATTGTTCACTTGAGAAACTTAAGTAATAGGTTTTAGATAAAATCAGTAGGAAATTGTTAATGAAACAGTAAGTAAATTTTCAAAACATATGGAAAATTGAAATTCACATTCCATATAATTTTAATAGTGTATTTTCGAATTGCCCCCCTTAACAATCAAATTGGTACCCTGTAGGAAACACTGTTCTATAGTTTACTTCCAGAAAAACCGTTCTCTGTCGCTACTATATTTATTACTGACATCCACAGGTGATACTTGTGACGATATTATTCTATGTTCAGACAAATTGCAGAAGAACTCTAAGGAAATACCTATATCAAGCAAAACAAAACCTTACCTTGATATTCTTCAGTGCCTCCAGACACGCCCTTTTCCTCTCCGCGCCCTTCGGGTACGGTCGTATGATGCCACTTATGTTCGTGATTTGTCCGAAGAAATCGAACTCCCTTTCGTAGAAAGCCTTAGCCGGACCAGACAACGAGTCCACTATTGACTTTATTAGACTTTCCAATATATCAAACAATGCCGCTGAAAAAAATATATACCACAGGTACATATTTGGTCTAGCAACATTGATAATTGACGTGAATACATTCAGATCAATTATCAATGTCATATTCACGTCAATTCAATAAAAAATCAATCAAATCCATCCATCCATCAATTTGGGGTGGTCAATAGTTGAAGTTGTGGTGAACGCAACAACTGACATGCTATGTTATTTCGCTAGGTATATTGGAATTCAACAATAGCAAGGGCCTCCCCCTAGCTCTGTTTCAAGGACTAATTTACATTAATTTTAGTGATAACAGATTTTCTATGGTTCTGATGCGAATCCAGACCCGTAAAAAATTAGTTACATGCTGACGGCCTATTTCACAAGAACTGACATAACATTACTTCCCTAGGTATAATTGAATTGAACATAGTAAAAGGGGGCCATCTCCGTCTCAAGAACTAATTTAATTTTACTGATAAAATATTTTTATGATAAATATATATATAATGTAATTTTATGGAGTCGCAAACAAGCTGACAGTCCATTTCAATGTCTTAGTTCTGCTCCCAGAAATTTCACTGCCTTACAAAACAAGCTGTTTGGAGGCTTAAATAAGCGAAATAGAAGTGGCCCAAACAAAAGAGTTCATTCAAAGTCTACCTTGATAAAATAATTTATGAATAGTACTCACTATCTTTATTGTGCATCTCCTCATCAGTATACAAGTTTGTATGCATGTTCCATATGAGTTGGTGAGCCACCACTTGCGATTTCTTCGCTAGAGATTTAATCAGTTCCGCAACGTAACCCATCTGTACAAAGTTAGAAATAAAATTAATAAGTATTTTGGATAAAGAAGACAAGAAGTTCTAGAACAAAATTGTGAAATCTAATGAAGGAAGTTTAGTGTGAGATTGCAGATCGAGAGAGAACAGAGTGGGATCACTCTGTTCTCTTTGTTTACGTCATAAAACCTAACCTTAAGATACATATTTTTTTATATACAAACATTTTCATATTTATAACAAAATATAATTATATTATATAGAAGCGACTTCGCATTTCGATATATAAATATTAGATATCAAAACGCATAGTCGATACCGTTGTCTGTTCGCTTAGATCTTTAAAACTACGCAACGGATATTAATGCAGCTTCAGCAATATATAGTTATTCAAGAGTAAGGTTTACATGTGCACCCGTGCGAAGCAGGGGCGGGTAGTAATATAAGAAGGTGTTACCGTGTCGTGCCGCAGCGCCTGCACCAGCTGCGGTATGTAGAGCAGCACGGCCGAGGAGGGGTAGGAGGTGAGCGTGCAGACGGCCGCCTGCGCCGACAGCGGGTGCGGCGGGTACTGCCGGCTGAAGTACGACAGCGCCTCCACGGGCGACACGCGCGCCCACGTCACCATGTGCACCAGCTGACAAAATACCCACAAACTTACACCGGTCTTCTGCACCTCCCTAGGGAGGTGAAGATTGGGACCTCAACGCCCGGGTGGCTGGAATTAAGCCTCCTAGGTTGAGTAATAAAATTAAAATACTTACTTGGGGATTTTCATTTATTTTTGTTTTTTTATGTGTTTTTTATATATACTTATTATGATGTATCCGTTACGTTTGGGGGAAAGGGACTGTTAGTAATGTGAACTTATTACTCCATCTCTAGCAATTTACCATGTCGTTTTGACCTTCACGTGGTTGAATCACAAATCAATAAATACAATATCAGATAACACTGTGGCATACACTTGTTGTTTTTCAATTTTGTTACAGGTTTGTTATACATATTTAATGATTTTTTTTTTTATTGTATTATAATTTTATTATGCTGAGATATCCAATAAACAATTTATCGATCTATCTACAACTCCCAACAAAATTTTCGATTCCGTTTATACCACATTTACCGGAATATAAGAAAGCTCGTTTTGAATGTAAAATCTAAAACCAAGACTAATAATCGTACTCATGAGCAACGAAACAATTTAAGAAAAATACCTAAAAAATCTATGCTTTTATTAATATATACATAAAAAGGTATATCTGCCTGAAATATGAATATTAATGCGTTTAGTATAAAGTTGAATATACCTCGTGTGCATCATTGAGCAACGTGTCAGTGGTGACTAGATATTTAAGAGCTTGTGGCACATGACACACTGAAGTCGGATGCGCTTGCACTTTCCGTCTCATTTCTACTACTATACTTTCACTCTTTAATCTGTAAATAAATACACAAAATGTATAACAATAATCAGAAAAGTGAATTATGATAACACTGTATCAAACAGTGGCACTGTTTCTATTTATAATCAGGATACGAATATTTTATAATATTTTCTTTATACAATGAAATATTCATATCTCAACTCGAAAGTTTGTCTATCTGTCAATTAGACCTTTTCAAGACTCATCGTATTGAAATTTGGAGAAGTTAGACATCAAAAGAAAGCTGACATATTATTTTTGTATTCCAAGTTTCAAACTCTTTTGAAGGCACTCATAAAAAAATTGTAGAAAGCAATAATTGTCGATGAAAAATAAATAAAACAACAACTCACCTTTCAGGCAAGAATACGGCTAATGTCGGACTGATATCCCACGCGAACTTGGCATAGTCCCGCCAAGTGCGGTCTGTGTTCGGTTTGGCACGCCAAGTTGCTATATTGTCCTCGCCCGGTATTGCTTGCTCGGGCCGGCTATGAGGGTTGTGCCAAGTTACCAGGAATTCGATTTCTACAGCCTACAAAGTGTAATAGATATGTATTGAAACATTATATATTTCAAAAGATGTAACAATTTTCCGAATAGCTGCAATACTTCAAAATAATAATCAATATCAAGGGACAAACAATGTAGTCATATTTTAGTGAAAAACATTTAATAACAAATAATTTATGTCCTGTCTTTATTTTGTTATTTGTATACTGCAGTTACAAATAAATCATTAATATTTTGATAAGTTACATTATATGTTAATAATAAAGTTTTCTCCCCTTAATTACACTGAACAGAACTTGAGCCCATTCTGGACAACCTCAAAAAAAATTGTGTCCATTTATATTTCTGTCCGTAATGCTGATGCAAACAAAAATATATATATATTGAGAGGTATCGGTAAACTCACCCCTTACGCGTTGGATTAAAATATACCCAGCGAAATGTGGGCAAGTCAAGTGTTGCGTTCACCACAACATCGACATTTGCCGAATATTTGTTATATATGAACAATTCTTAGCCTTACCATCAACTCGAGTATGAGATTTCTTTTCTTGACGTAATCTTTGACGAACGTGTCCTGTGATTTGACGGGCGGTTTCACGCTGCGGTTCGACCGCTTGCCCGCTATGCTGCCCGCTCCGCTACTCAATGTCGTCGTCGACATTGGAACCTGACAATAAATAAGTAAATAAGTAAACAACAATACATACAGCTCCATATAATAACAAACTAATGTTATGCGTTATTGCATTATACCAATTGTACATAATACAAACTTTGCTTAGCTTGGGACTAGATGGCCATAGGAATTCTCCTGAGATATTTTTTTTAATATATGAATATAGGTGAGTTAGAGTACCGTATTAATTTAACTATTGTTTTAACAATATTGTAAGCAAAATTTTTACCGTGTTGATCCATCCGGTTGTCTGTCGATTGCCAATATCACTACTATTGACAGATGAACGATTGTCCGTCGGTGAGTTGGACGTGTAAAGACTTTGCTGGCTGCTCACACCGCGCATTAATTCAAATTCTGGAAGAAAAATGCCAATCAAATCTCAATATATTGGTGATCTGATAAATTGTAGCAATAGTCATATATAAAAAAGAACAACCCCATAAATATTTATTTATTTATTATAAAAATAATAAGAAACTAAGTGGGTACACTAGCACTACGGGAATTAATAGCGCAGACGACTTTATACAAACATTACATCGATAAAAAAGATAATTTACTAAATTGCAGAATAAAAGGTATGACATCATAGTCCTCTGGAATGGCTAGACATTAGTAGTATCGCAGGAGTACATAATAATAACAGGATATAATAATGTGATATCTTTAGTGCTGTTCATGTATATAAGAAACAGCTTTTCCAGTAACATTTATTTATTATATATTAACTTAGGAATAAACACTGTGTGGAGACGAAGCTTATGCTCCCGTGCAGATTAGTCGCAGTGCGTTGGAATACTGAGAGGTTTTAAAGAGTAAAAGTCCCACAATATCCGGTAGCGCCCTCTCATAAAGGTGGCCGTTTCTGTTTTGAACATTTACCCTCGTAAAACAAAGGAATAAACACTCACCACCAATATCACTATTTTTCAGATACTTCTTATCCGAATGCAGCAACTGCCAGAACTTGATCAACGATATTATATCCTCCCTCAATGCTCCAGAAGTCTTGGCGGGGGATTGGAGGCCCCTGCAGAAGTAATCTAGACATGTGCTGTACACCCGCTCCCTGAGGATATTCCGTGCTAGCGAACGAGGAAGAATATCTCCTTGGAGAAGAGATAATCCACAAGATAGCAGTCTGTAAATGTAGATAAACATTAAGGTGTATTGCTTAAATAGCTCATTAATTTTAAATCATTACAAGATAACCCAATAAAAGTCATAAAGACGTTTTAAAATGTTACGTTATAAAAATAGTACTCACTTAAAACGAACGCCGACTGCTTCAACATGTCTATTTATGTGGTCCCTTACATCGCCTACTGTAATAGGCAGTGTTCTGTGAAAATATAAAAAACATATAATTGATATGGAACCATATTTCTAATGCTATAAAGTTCAAGTAAAATAAGAGAATAGTTACAAACCTGTGGAGCAAACTGGCCAACATCTCGACTTTCTCTAAACTATTATATTTCGCCGTTTCTGCAACTTCGCATAAATATCGAACCCATACTGCGTGTGCTGCAACGAATGGCGGACGAGGTTCCAACTTCGATCCTGAATGAATACAACAAAAAGTATATTAATAGCAAAAATAAACAAGTAACAGATCATCTAACGAAAATTAAACACTTCAGCATTATTTTATTAACACGTGACATATGTACTTATAAATTATTTTGTCTATGATTGTGAAGTTGTCTATCGCGAACTGTAAAAAGCATATTTAAACAAACCCCATATTGAACGTATATACATTGCCGATCATTCATGACTAATTACCAAAACTAAAACATAAATATCTACTAGCTGCTTAATTTAGTAGTCTCGGCTGTACCTGTATAAATAGCAAAGTCGATCCATAAAAGTAATACTATCTGTGACTGTAATTCTTAAGTGATACCTTCATAAGCAGCGAGAGGGCTGATCTCTTCCACCTGCTTGGAGAACAGTCCCATTTTCCTATCGACGGTACACTGCCAGGCCGCGAATATTTCCTGTAGCAACCTCAATTCGAGATCCGGCCGAGCGGTCGTCAACCACTGCCAGCATTCCACAGCTGTGGTCACGGCGTCCTCTGTGAATATCTCTACTTGGGACCACGCTGCAAACAAAATACATATTCATTGTAAATTAAATATAATAATTTAAGCATTTTAAAAATACAAAATGTGGGGTGGGGGGGAGGAGGTTGTTAGTAATGTGCACTAATGACCCCAATTGCTAGCAATTACCATATCGGGTTGTCCACGACGCAGCTTCACCTGGAAATCATCGCGTTAAATTCGTGAATTTGCCACGATGGGCAAAATGAACTGCTGGCATCAACTCCGAGAGGAACAACCCCCGAGTTGCAAGATTTAAGCCTCTTAGGGCGAGTAACAAAATACCTTAACCTAACTTAAGAGGTAGTGCCATACTTGGCAACACGTGACACGTCCGCTACAGACACTCACCGACAGAATGCAACAGTCCCCTTGCAATCGGCGCCGCGTTCGCTTGTGCCGGCTGGTGACGTGCGTGTACTAGAAGCGCTGTTGCGCGCCATAACGCAGCTCGATGAGAAGTTTCACTGCCGCCGCTGCAAGCATCCTTAAGCGCTGTATGCAGCCGAGCACCGACACGCCATATCGCCGCTTCACCGCCACCTTCCGCAAACACAGCTCCAGTAATCTAATTAGGATAATACAATATGTGTTAATTATATAATAATATACATATAGTGTCTGAAACTCAAATTCTGATGTATATTGCAGGCTTAAGCTAACATGCTTTAGTAAACCTTAAAGAGGTGGTCTTTAATGTTTACTAAAGAATGATTAACAATACAGGATATTAAATGTAAATAATTGTTATTATAAAAAGATTTATTTGGATGGATAATAGAGAGGGCATTTATATAATTGAAACGAGATAGAGAGAGACAACTGCCAATTGTCTATTCTGTGATCAAAGTCAGTAGAATGAATTTAAATTAACATTAAAATAAATTTAATTTTTAGTTGCTCGAGAGGCGACTTTATTACTATACATTTCTATACCTCCTTACGGGGAGAGATCCATGCGCTTCGATGCGTGAAATATTAGCTAAAAGCAATATATATATACAGACCGTAAATAACTATATTACAAAAAATATAAACATCACTACGATATATACATAAACGTTTAAGTCTATCTAAGCATCAGTTACCTACAACATACCACAATGAGCACTGGCTGAAAAGTTTTCAATCTGTAATAACGTACTATATATACTACAAAGTGTTACAAACCTGCCGAGCAAACTGGCCAACATCTCGACTGCTCTAAACTGCTATATTTCGACGTTTCTGCAACTTCGCATAAATATCGGACGGAGTACTGCGTGACGCAACGAATGGCGGACGAGGTTCCAACTTGTCCAGAATGAATACGGCGCGTATATTAATAGAAAAAATAAACGAGTGGCAGATCATGTACGATTCAAACACTTCAGCATTATTCTATTAACACATATGTACTTATAAATTATTTTGTCGATTGTCGCCAGCGCCAAAAGCACATTTAAACAAACCCCATATTGCCATATACGTCGATCATTCATGACTAATTACCTAAAACATAAACATCTCATGTTACTTTATATTTTATCCATTCCATTATTGAATTGATTCATATTCTCCGATTAATTATATCAGTGTGCAACAACTACCTATACCTAACAGAAACTATATAAAGTTAAAAACCAACAGAATCGATATAAAACCAAAGACAAAGAAAACGGTAACAAAAATGGCTACAAAAACATATAGCAATCATCCATGTGTCTATCTATGACTGTAATTCTTAACTTCATGATGTCGCCTTGAAAACTAGCATAAAAATACACAATAACAATAATATACAAAATAAGTAGAAAAGGTTTGTTTTTTATATCCGTTAAAATAAATACAAAATATAAAAAAAACATTTCAAAATTTCCAATAAGTACATACCTGATTCAAATATTCTTGCAAATGAGATCGTGTAGACTGAGGTGCCCACTTCATTGCTTCTTGTACTATTCCATGGCAACGATCAGCGAAATCTTTTACAATGGACTGCAAACAAAAATTAAATAATAAAAATCTGTTCATATTTTAAAAATCAATTATAAGCCATGGATGTAAAAATCAGTTTCGCCGCTTACCTCCTACCTTCCAACACAGTCCAGTAATCTAATTAGTAATTATGTGTTAATTATATAATAATATACATATAGTGCCTGAAATTTTCATGTATATTGCGGCGTCTGCTTTAGATTTGCATCTAGTTCGAGATTAACAATAAATATTAAATGTAAATAATTATTATAAATAGATTTATTTGAGGATAATAGAGAGAATATAATTGAAACACGAGATAGAGATAGACAACTGCCAATTGTCAAAGTCAGTAGAATGAATTTAAATTTACATTAAAATAAATTTAATTTTTAGTTGCTCGAGTTTATTACTATACATTTCTAGGATAGGGGAGAGATCCATGCGCTTTATGCGGAAATATTAGCTAAAAGCTATATATATACAAAAAATAAAACTATTTAAAAAAATACAACAAACGATATATACATAAATGTTTAAGTCTATCTAAGGTTTAAACATACATTCCTAATGTTAATACTTGGAATAAACCTAACATTATTACGAATCCAGATCTAACAGAGGACTACTTAGTACTACAGTTAAATCGTTCATTATGTATTCGCCATACAGAAATCAGTCACTCATGTTACTGTCACCATACAATTACATTCCATTTTACCAGAAAACTGAAAAGATCAAAAATAATATTAGTTCAAAGAAAAATGTATAAACTAAAAATAAATTTATTTCTATTTATCTAGGTCTTCATTATAACTATTTCATTAATATATAATATTTATTAATGTACTATTTTTTTATATCCGTTAAAATCAGTTTTAAATTACAAGTAAGAGTACCTATTCAAATATTCTTGAAAGGAACGGCGAGATATTTTTATTGGATCGTTCGAATGGTGACTATTTTTAAAGTCAAATGAGTGAAAAAATTAAATAATAAAAATCTTTTATATATTTTTATTGTCGTAAAATTTGCTTTAAATATTTTTAGTTAATATATTTATAATTTAGTTAAAATATTTTTCCAAAAACTACAACTTACAATAGAATTTTTAAAATGGAGTTTGTATTTTTGCATTTAGACCACTGTTAAACTAGGGGCATCGCAGGTCTAACTTTAGACCATAGACGAATCACGATTTAGAGATAAACTTCATTTTGTAATAAGGAATACATTGGTGAATGGTTTATTACTAGTGCTAAACCAGGTTTATCTTTTTGTAATAAGGCCGTTATAGTTGATATAAAGGTTCGTCAAAAGGTCCCTCCAAGGTTTTCTCACGAGGCTATAGCCTGGGATTCCTTCAAGAAGGCTACATTAAGGTTTCTTAAGGGTCGGCAACGCACACGCGACACCCTTGGTGTTTCCAACGTCCATAGGCTTCAGTAACTATTTACCATCAGATGGGCAGTATGCTTGTTTGCCACCACCGTAGTAGAAAAAAATATAAGTGCGGCAAAAAATCAACTCAAAACTTTTTATTTCCTACCAAAAATTCCATACCTAGTGGACTTTATAATTTTTGGAACTAAAATTCAAAACGTTTTGTTTCATTCACTACCAAATATAACATCGCGTACTATTTGTTCACTATATCTGCTATCAAACAGTAAATTTATTAATATTATAAACGCGAAACTTGGTGAGTATGGTCCATCCATACTCACCAACCTGTTAGGTTTTTGATGAAACTTTACAATAATGAAGCTTATACATCAGAATAACATATAGGCTAAAAATTTTAGATGAAACCGCGTGCAAAGCCAGTGTACAATACATTTCCAAAGTAATAACGATTATAATAATTCCCACTCACCCGACAATTCCATAAGAGATGCGGGAACCTGTCAACCAGTCCTGATAGCCACTTGTCCGCTACCCGTCTGATCTGCTTGTGTATATGATTGAAGTTCACCAGCAGGAACTGCGCGTGACCTTCCAGTTCCCTCTCCCTGGACTCGTCCTTCACTTTGTCAGACATTACATCCAGAAACTTTTCGAAAACTTTGTCTCCAACACTGTGTATAACAAACAAACATAAATAATAAACAATAGTCTTCTTGTGTTCTGTTTATTCGCAATCAATAACAGTACTATAATTAGATTGGTAGAAGTCAGTGCGTGTTTGCAGTCCATTGAAGGGACAACTCTTTATTTAATGAAGTTCTTTACCAACTTCATCATATATGTCCTTTTTACGCGTTTTGGGCGGAATAAAAATAGAATTTATTGATTTTTTTTAAAGTATTTAAGTAAATATCCTTTTCAATGATTACCATCTGTTTATCCATCTTATTAGTACATAAAGTACTTTGTTGTCCATTTTAGTAATAATACTCTTTATTGTGCATAAAATAATATTTACAAAAAAGAACTTAATATAAAATTATGCTAACAAAAGGCGGCCTTATCGCTCATAAGACAACCTAGAACCTGCAACCTTATCAATTTTAGATGATGATTACCACGTACCACCAGATGAGACTCCAGTTTGTATGCCATTCCTGCCAGTACATGACTATCTGGAATATTAGGAATATACCTACTAGTATATATATTTTATTAAAATCATCACATACCTAGCTACACATTGCCACATGCCGCTTTTGTCTTTTTGTAACGCTGTATCACTTAAATATTCAATAATTGGTTGTAAACTTGGCTCTGGAGAGTTGCACACTCTGAAACAAAGAAATGCATTACATTTGGATGTATCAAAGTACAGTAATTGTTCACGTTACAACTTGTGTACCGAAAATCCACACATCGTCGATTAAATAGAAAAAATGCAGTATTCAAAATGTAGATTTTTTACAAGACAAACATTTAAAGTTTTTTTTTTATTTATTTAAATTATGTTTTCCTTTAGTTTTAATTTTACACAGAAGTATTATATATCATTTTAAAAGTATTTAGATAGTGATTAAGACGGCGTGGTTAATTTAATTGACTTATAAAAAAGTAGGCAATTCTAGCTTCTAATTTTGAAAAATGTTCTTTTTCTATTTAATCGACAACATATATAGTAAATGTGTTATTTTGATAAATTTACTTTAAAATAATAAGTATATTTTTTAAAGTTATCATTCAAAATAAAATAAATATATAAGTAATTTATATATTTAATCAAACTTTAAAGTGCTTTAATGTAAGTTTATTTCAATAAATTATTTTCTATTCTATTCTATATTTACCTTAATGTTTCTAACCAGTATACGCTAAGCAGGTACATACAAGGCGCGAATGTCAACTTGTTCACCATAACGGTAATATCCGCCGGGTGGTCCAGCAGATTCAGTATCTGCGTCTTTAATTCCTGGAGTTCATTCAGGGACACCGAGTCGTTCCTCACAGCGGACGTGTATTGCAGTTCACGCATTTCCGAACGCAACGACGTTTGAGAAACAAGGTAGGGTGATTTGACGGCTATCTCTTTTACACCCGTGTACCATTCTTGGGGCCATAAACCTGTGAAGTATTTATATAAAGAAAGTATATAAATATATCTATCTATACACAGTATACATGTAACAGTATCGTTTATTATGAAACCTATTAAAAGAAGCAATTATTATTTGTTTTTTCAGGAAATAACATGAAATTTCGAACATATATTTATAAAGTAAAGTATCTAAGAATTTTTTAGAATATATGTAATTCAATATATGTTTTTTATAATAATTACATATAATACATTCATTATAAGTAATTCAATAAGATCCTAAAATTCTTCTAAATAACTCAGGTTTCTTATAACAATAATTTTATACATCCGATTACAAGAAATACCATATAAAGAATTTGCAATAAAAACGTAGTATAGATTTTATGATTACACAATGGAGTATATATAATTAATTAAATGAAATATTCACTCGAAACTCACTCAAAAAGCACAATCTATAAACCTACGAATAAAAATCTGAGAGGAGCCTAGACAAGATGCAACTTCTATTAATCTAAATCAGTTTGTTAAAGTATTGGACTTTAACAAACTGATTTGATCTGTAATTTTATAAACATAGAATACAATTTTCCAAAATTTGTTTTTAAATAAATAGTATAAATATAAAAGCAATTAAAATTTCGATGGATTGAAAACTTTTTAGTAGTAGAAACGTTGCATTTTGTCGCCAGGCACAGAATATAAGAAATGTATATTCGAAGCTAATCTGCATGAAGATAGTTTGCTACTAAAAATTTCAACTAAAGACTGGTAAATTCGTATATTTTATTCAGTACCTTTAACTATATAGTTATAGCAATATGAATCAAAATATATGGCAAGGCTATAATATTAAATTTTATGTCGTATCGTCACTTCTTAGTTTTTCTATTAGAGTTTAACTACGGTCTCAGGCTGAAGTTGAAATATAAACGTACTTGTACATTATACTAGATAAATACAAAATTAATCTTATTTCGATTCCCTACAGGTAACTTTTACAATTAAATATTAACAAGTATCCCACATATTCAATAAAGTACTACCTCAAATATAATTCTTATATTCTGTCAGATATAGAAATACCAGTATATAGATACCATGATAAACTAAAGTTGATGAACAGTTATGAATACTTCATCATCATCATACATTTAAATATGAAGAAGTAAAAATACTAATTTACCATAACATAACATCTTATAGGAACATATGGCTACTGTAAACATAGGATTGTTATTATTAGACAATAAATAGGATATCGGCAATAATGATCTGTTCAACAACTTTTGTTACTAATTGTACTAACAACGCAGTACTACACTCGACCTATAAGCATGGTCTCAACAAAACAAAATATACTTTGTACAAAACACACACTACAAACTGTCAAATGTTTGTTCAAATATTTATTCACTCAACCAACATTACATTAGGGTGAGCATTCACATGTAATGTAACAGTTGAAAACAATCACTGCATACCTGAATTTTGTAAGTTAAGGCTGGTCACGTACAGTTGGTTAGTTGTCAGGTAGCATGACTATGACTAACGTTGCTATTGGTCCATTTAGTTACGCCGCTCATCACCAAAATAGGCGAGCAATAACAAACATTAAGTACATTCGGGCAAACAAGAGTAACCATTAACCGACTGTATGTGTCCACCCTAAGAGGCAACAGTGACAACAAGAAAGTACGACGTATTCGTTAAATTACATGAAAATTATACCCTCGATCTATACACACCTTTAGAATCATATACTTGATATTGTCATGGCGCTATATTCACTAATCTCTTAAATTAAGAATATACTTATATTACATTTTAGTTATTAAAATAAGTATGCATGATATCCCGCATATTAAATTTTTAAAGCAAAATAATATATTATTGGTTACAATAATCTGCATTTTAATATTTATGTAGTATAATACAAACATTAAAAATACAAATTTCAACCTATTGAAGTATATTGCCCATTATAAAAAAAGTGCTGTCACTATTTTATAATGAGCAATATAGCCATAAAAGCACAAAACACTTCAAAAGCTAAAACAGGTTTATTAGACATTTAACAGTTTTATCTAAAGATGCATATGAAAATACAAGATGTTTTGCAGTATGTGTTTTGGTGAAATAACATGAAAAACACGGAACTCCTTCATTTAGTAGTTAGGTAAAAATCGACATAAATTTGGCAAACTTTCTATAGAACCAAGACAGTATAACATTTTGATTAGTAAAGGAACTATCAACAACTCTCAATGTTTTGATATCATCCATACGATATGAAAAAGGTATTATAGTAGAGTAGTAGAGTATTTATAATTCTTTCCTTTTATTGATACTAGAGTTAAGTTAATATAACACCATAGACAAAGTAATTATTATAACAAAACAACATTCATCTAAACTCTAAAAGCATCTTTACTCACGCTTTCGCATGGCTATAGGCATGGCCATAGAAGAAGAGACAACAAGATGTTTAAATATATCTATACAAATAATATATGTTTATAATATTTACATACAGAAGTATTATAGTAAAGAAGTGCTGAATTGAATCTTAAAACAATTTAGTTAAGAGTTATTATTATGAAATATTTATTTAGTACAATTATGTAAAATATAAGTATAATTAACATAAATATGTGATGGATAGATACCTGAATCTGCAGCTGTGAAACCCATGACTACACAATATAGCCAGAAATCTTTGAACAGCTTGTGAAGTCTGGGCTTTGGATGTTTGATGGGCGGGAGCCTCTTGACTAGAACCTAAAAATAAATACATTTAAGATTAAAACTAAAATATATACTCCAACCGTATTGCAAGATTTGGTAGTAATCTGTGGAGACTGCCATACTTCGAAAGTCCACATTTCAATAAACATATTCCTAACCAATTTGGCTAGAGGCAGTCCTGTTTCTGTATCTTTCGAGACGATGTTAGCTTCGCCACCTGCCATGTTTTACGTCTTAATTTATTATGTAGAAATAGCATTTATTTGATACAGTGACAAAGTCACACTATATCCAGATATTATCTTCGTACAAACTTAAATAATTAGCATTTCCTTCTTCATAACTAAGTTCAGACTACAGCCTACGACAAAGACTATGAATGCACCATTACGTTTGAAATTTGACATAAAAAAGGTAAGCTGCAGCAAACTGACTCTATAGGATTTAATCAATTCAGATATCTATACAACTAGATAATAAAGTAAAAAATCAAATGTACATACTGCAATAACGGGTATAAGCACGCCAAGATTGCCCGCGCTACCCGATGCCTTCAGCACGGGTGCGGGCGAACGGTCGGTGGCACGTTCCCCGCCAAGTCCCAACTGCACGAACAACTCCAGCAAACGCGTGAGCAGTTCTAAACGCGCATTAGTGCCGCGAACATTTGCCGCTATGTTCGCAAGCGCGTTCAGAACTGCCCCCGATACATGTCTGTACAACAAAGAATTGTTTATGTTAATACTCGTAATTTATTACACTTGCAACTTTAATCACGCGAGATCCCTTACCGGCTAAACAGTGACAATTGTCAACAGTGTTTCCGGCTCTTTAGGAAGGAATATGAATATATTTTTCATGTAACTGGAATAGGAAAAAACTCATATTTCCATCTATACATATAAATAAAATTGAAGTGTCTGTTGGTAATATTGAAATAACCGTTTTTTTTACTACATGCATATGAATGTAAATTATATGTACCGTACATATACCAAAATAACATTTTTTACAATTTTTATCTGTCTGTCTGTTTGTTCCGGCTAATCTCTGAAATGGCTGGACAGATTTAGACGGGACTTTTTTGGTACGTAGCTGATGTAATAAGGAGTAACTTGGGCTACTTTAATTTTAGAAAAAATCTTTCATTTTGGAAAAATAAAGTTATGTTCCACGCGGAGGAAGTCGCGGGAACAGCTAGTTCCTAATAAAAAGGCTAATGCTATGCATTCGGGTTCGGTATTTTTTCTCTTCAAACCAGAATACAGCTTACAAATTGTTTCCTGACAGAAATAAGTGAGACAGACAGTGAGGGTACGGATCAAGTATATGTGGTTTGATGTTAAGTGGACTGTATTATTTTATAATAATATGACAGGCACGTGGATTGACACGATACACTATTAGGTTTGTGATAGAACTAACATTATCTCAGGGAAATCGACACAGCGCCATCCAGTCCCAAGCTAAGCATATCTAGTGTTATGGGTATTAAGTCAACTAATAAAAAACACAAATTTCTTTTTTTTTTTTGTAAATTTATACTTAATATACATAAAAAAACAAACAGACCGAACAAACAATCATACTCATAGATACAAATTTCTGTAACATACGAGGATACCGGCGATCATCGGATGTGAGGTGCTAAACCGCTAGACCACCGAAGCCGACCGAAGCAGGACTTTTAGAAAGTCTATTTTGGACTTATTGATGGTTTTTAGCCCGTAGACTTCATAGTAGGACCTACGGATACAAATGACGTTTTTGTTTTCTTTTTAAACTCTACTTACCTATACTGCTTCCTATCGTCAGTGTGATGGTAGGCCGCGCTGGCTGCTTCTACGGTAATGACTGTGAACATGCGCATGATCTCGTCGTGTGCGGGCCCCTCGGGGCTCGCCAGCGCCATACAGCCGAGCTGGTCTACTATCAAAGTGTCCAAAGACGATGGGGAGCGGCATAGCCTGCGGATAAAATATACCATCGGGATTTAATCAAGTTGGGAAAATACCTCATTGCTCAAAAAGTACACCGTTACTAAAAGATGTATAATATTGTTTTTGGTACGACACGAAATAACAGATAAACATCTGTAAACAATATGAAGACCACTGAATTTCACGTATTATAAAGATGGACGTTGGGAGGTCAAATTTCTACTTCAGAATAATCATTCTGTATCTAAGATACAGAATGATTATTTGTTATCAAGGATTATGATTTATGTACATTTTGGTGCGCTATACAATCTTATTAATATTATAAACGCGAAAGTTTGTGTATATGTATGGATGTTTGTTACTCATTCACACAAACTACTGAACGGATTTTGATGAAACTTTACAGTAATATATATACATCAGAATAACATACAGGCTGTAAATTTCACGCGGGTGAAACCACAGGCAGAGCTAGTACTTACAAAAATGGGTAATGACTTGTATATTTGTATTCCATTCTGAAAAGTAGTATTAATAAGAGAAAACATGCCAAATACGAATTATAGATTCTAAAATGAGCACTGGTTTAAATTTATTCGCTCTGTATATTATTTCTTTGTGTTGTGTGTATTACCTTTGTTGGAAAAATTGCAGAATTGTATCTGTAGTTTTGGGCGTATCCTTGAGGGCGACGGCGACGTGTCCCAACATGATAACGATGTTTGTACTGATCAGCGACGATTCACTAAAAAAAAGAAAATTTTAAGGCCTTAACATACGTCATGAGGAAAGAGTATTGGTCGTAATGGGGACTAGTGATCCAATAGCCAGCAATATACCATTGCAGGTTGACCTCCAATCTAGACTGCGTAACAATTTTGATAAACTTCTGATAAATTCGTCATTATGTTCTAACTTACATGACGTCATATCTTCTCCCACTGGTGCCCCCAGCGTCTACGTTTATTTAGGAGATTTTGACTGACATCAAGCAAGAATAGTTGCATTGCTTTATTACCGGTGAAAAACAAAATATCATTCATGTAGGTCTATAACAGACTCTAATGAGATGTCAAATCTACCGTCAGTTCGGGGTGCTTTCGGGTATGATGACTGACAAGAAACTCAGCTCTTTCTTTTCAATGAGCTTGTACTTGTACATATGATTACAAATCTAGATACTTATTTTTAAATGTGTGTAATAACCAATGTTTATATTGTTAACCGGGTCTAAACAATAATAATTTTAAGGTCAATGTCATTTATCATAAAATTAAAAATATAAAGTATTATATAATTTATTTATAATAATAATAAAAAATAACCCTGGACAATTAACACAGTGTCATCTAGTCCCATGGTAAGCAGAGTTTGTTTTATGGGTACTAGAGAACAATCATACTAATGAATACAAATTGCACCGTGCCAGGATTCGGAAGCAAACTGGTGCGCCAAACAGTTAGACCACCGAGTTCATAAATCGTTCGCGTTAAGACCCGGTTATCAATCAGTCAATATGTATATGATTAGTTCCTCACCTGTCACTAGTTTCAGCGGTAAACAATCGGTTACTAACTGAGCCCACAAGTGCTGGGACACAGACCAAGTCCACAGTGAGTGCAGCTTCAAGCGCCACGCACAGATTCTCTATTGCGGCGTCTCGAAGCTTCTCGAAAGGCGTCGACTTCACTGGGACGCCGGTTTCCGTCAAACCCTGGAGTTCTTTCCCCTGTACTGTATAAAAATGTTTATCCCTAGAGACTACATCATGTGGAGTTTATTAAAAAGGGTATATTAGCAGTAGGACTAAATTTATGGATAACTCTTATTCATTTCATGCGGCTCATCAGTGAAATACACTTCCTTTACATATTCTATAAAGTCCTTCTATGGGCTCATTCAAGGAAAAGTTAAACTAAGTATTACTTCGCACTACCTCTCTACCATTTCATGCTTAGTTGTATCATTGTACTCCTATTTATATTTATATATACTATGTACACATTTACATATGTAATCAGTATACTTATTATTAAGTATAGATTATATACATATTTTTCTAAATACATACTTTTTACACATAGGAAATAACGAAACCAATAGAAGCAACTATCCATCTGACGTAAACAGTGTGAATGAATGTAACTTACATGTAACCTTCATGTGTTCCTTGCCAGTTTTTTCTAACTCCAATTTGTGTAACTTGAACAGTATCGGCGATGGAGTAACGAGGAAATCTCTTAAGCAATAAATTGAAGTGTTCGCAATTGTCGGAAACTTTGTCGCTAATTTACCAAGTCCCTGAAATAATATACAAATACATTTATTAAAAATACCTGAAAAATGTTAATTGACAACAACAAACAAAGGAGTTCGTTGCTATACAAAATATTCGGATTGACGTCGTGTTCAGAAGCAAATCCGACTTTTTTACCAGCAGATGATGCAGTTGGGCCGTTGCCACCTCTGTGATAATAATAAAACAGCTGTCCCTTTCTTTGTGAATATAGTTGTCGGTTATAGATTGTAATATGTGTTAACCCAAGGAAATGTCAAGTGTTGTCAGAAAAACTACATTTGATAATGCCTCTGACTATATTAACATAGTAACATCGTAATGCAATGCATCTCTCTCTAGGGGGGAAAGGGGATTGTTAGTAATGTGGATTGATTATCTTACTGCTAGCAATGTACCATGTCAGGTTGACCTCCACGCGGTTCCCCCTGGAAACCATCGTGATAAATTCTTGGTGAATTTGTCACGATGAGCTAACTGACCTGACCTCATGCTCATCTTATCATCCTCCACTGGTGCCCCGCCATCGTAAACCGTTAGCGCAGGCGGGTGCACCATTACATTATCATTTATAAAAAAAAAAAATGCATCTCTCTCTTTCTAGAAGCATTAAGCTACTGTACATTTACATGCTACATTTATATTAATTATTAAAGTAAAAAATATCAAGAATGCTATTTTGTTTTAGAAAGGCTCCACTGAAAATCAGCGCTGCAGTGACACGATGCGGCACCAGCTGAGTGGAGGCCCTTTCAGCTCTTAGCGCGAAATTAGCCATTAAGATTTTCTGTATTTTACTCTGTATGGTGCTATGCTGAATAAATTATTATTATTAATCTTAAATAAAGCTTAAATCTTTTGAAATATGCAATGTATTTTATTGCTGTTAATAGCAATAAATATAGTGATTCAAGACGAAGGTTTATATATATATTACATGTACACCCGTGCAAAACCGGGGAGGGTAGCTAGTTTATTATAAAACTTATTCTATGTTTATACTTACTTCAAGACAGACCATCAGGAGCGGCATATGTGCTAATATCAATTTATGGTTGTGATTAGAATTTATTTTCTCCGTCAAACGGCCGCATAATGAATCCGCACCTAAAAATACATTTTTATTATAGAATTATCAAAGATTAATAAGAAAAAATGTATTTTATTTACAAAAAAATAAATTAATGATCTAAGAGGACAGCAATCTATGAGAATTATCTCATATATATTTATATACTTCACAGCACGGCCGTTATATAAAGGGTAAGCAGAAAGAACAATAATGTATTATAATTGTAAGAATATAAAAAAGTTATATATAATTTTGAAAAATGATGATCGATGTCAAATAGATTGTATGGGAATAATACTGCAATAAAAATTGTCTATCAACAAAATCATCATAAACAGTTAGTAATATACAAATATATTACTTAATTTGATTTGACTGACACACGAAAAAACCATATATTCATCATATATTTATGAAAGGGGATGTTTTGAATTATGTTACGAACTAGCATGCCACAAGGATATATTATATATATTAGGATAAAATTCATTCTGTAATGTTCATTACTGAATTGTAATGAATGAATGATATTTGTATATTGATTAATGATATAAATGATCTATATGTCAAATTGGAGACTAAAAACAAAAGCTAACCTAAATTATGGTGCCAACCAAAGTCAATTTCAAACGATTGTTGTGCGGTTCACGAAAAAATTCCATTGACCAAATTGTACTCTGTTCCTTTATTCATATCATCAGAGGTTCGAGTTTAACCATTTCATTTATAAAAAATATTAACCGTATGTTCTGTTCAAATACATTCCAATGAATTATTTTGTGAACGCAATCATTTGGTGACTATTTCTATAATTATTTCATATAATTCTGAATGGTTTCAAAAATAATCAAGAAAAAGGACAATGAATATAGAACTTCAACGAAATTATTGACAGTCATTAGAATGACACCAACACCATGCTGTAGTGTTAGTCAATCGGGTTGTCACTCTCACACGAATAAAGATACCTATTAATATGGTTAGAGCGTTTATAAGTGCTGGTACATCATAGTCCCCATCAACTGTAAAATTATAATAAATTCCAAATTCAAATTAAAACGTTACAATAAATAATAGGACTGGATACAATTAAATAGCAATCGATTTGAAATACCAAATTCAATTTAACGTCGTATTTAAATCCTTGTAAAAATATATGTGATTTATCACATTTATTTTACATCAGTCTTGACATTCCAAATTCAAATGAACATCTTGTACTTGAACAATAGTATACTACGATATAAGTGCTTTATGATAGTTATAGCACACGAGGCGTAATTTCAGTCCGAACCGAAGGCAGGAGCGTAATAGAGCCGAGTGCGTTAAAGATGGACGTATATTGTTGACGTTGTATATAATAAATCTAATGCTCTCGATTGCTTTCCCGCCATTTTACTTTTTAAATCAGGATGCATTCTACTGGTTGGTGCCGCGCGGCAATCAATTCGAAATTTGATAAAAATAGCAAACAATATAAATACATCATATGCGTTAATAACGCGAGCGTGTTTTATGAGCTGAAGTATACATCTTAAACCGGAGAAATTAGATCCAGTTTACGAAAATATTTTTATATTAAGTACCTTGTTTTTGCTATAAAAGGTTAATCCCGCCGTAATTTTTTTTATTCATATCACGATTATGAAAATAAAAAATAAATAATTGACGTTTTGGATAGGTATCTAAAACATTCACATCAATATCGACAATCAAAATGGATAAATTAATCAAAACTAATGGCTAATGAATGTAACGAGTTGAATCTTATAATGAATCTTTACTAAATATTAATATAGGTACCTATGTAAAAATGCATCCCCATTAACTCTAGTTTCACCACAACTTGAAAAGACTTCAGTCGTCTTTTTATCGTTTTGGAATATTCGCAAAATGTTCATGAGTTCATGAACAAAAAAAAGAAAATTGTGAAGTAAATAGAAATGTTTTAGAAAATTTTACTAATATGTATATTCCTGTGGTACGAAACAAGATAGTCGCTGTCGTGTGTCTGCTAGTATACCATTTAGGCAGGAGTTGGCGTTCAGCCGGTCCATACGACTTTCCGCTGGTGTAGAGCGCCTACTGTACTCACACCGAGATATTTACATATATTTCGGCGAAGTAGTAAAGCCAGCTGCGACCAGCAGCATTTAATTATTTTGAAAAATGTTTTTCGTTTTTAAAATATTAAAATCCCCATATCAAGTCACTCATCTGTGTAAAAACATCCTATTGGTGAGGAGAGTATGAATTTTAATATAACTATAGTCATATATTCCACTAATGACGACCTATGGATCGAGATGTTTATAATATTATCATTACTTTATTTATCATTTTTATCGCTTATCATTTCAAATAAAAATATATGATAAGCATGGAATGCTCATTAGTGATAAAGAAAATACATATTAAAGAGTACAATTAGAAAATACATATAAAACTACGATAACTATAAACAAAAGTTTAAAAATAATTTTAATATAAATCCTGCTTTACATTTAGTTACAAAATGTTAATAAAAACGGCGTCTCGTGACACCAATTATGTGTGCCATTCCGGAGATCTAAGATTTCTTGCCTTAATACATCGTGATTTTGTCATATATTAATACATAAATTCTGGTGTAGTACTTTATTATTAATGATAAAAATATATACTTTTATCATTAATAATAAAGTACTAACTATTACATCGTTTTTTTTCTTAAGGGATGTTAATGGAATGGTGTACCTGCACTAACGGTATACGCTGGCGAGGCACCAGCGAAAGCTGATGAGTATGAGGTCAGGTTAGTTAGCCCATCGTGGCAAATTCACCAGGAATTTAACATGATGGTTTCCAGGACTACCAGGTGGAGGTCAACCTGACATTATACATTGCTAGCAATGGGGTTATTAATCGACATTACTAACAATCCCTTCCCTCAAAACATTATAGTTAATACCTGGTAAATTGGCCACGTTGAACTGACCTTACGGTCATCCTATTATCCTCCATTGGTGCCCTGGTAGCATAGACAATTTCCATAGGCAGGCTCATATCCATTAACATCCATAATTTCACTTATAAACAGATTAAAGAAAGCATTGTGGCGATAGAAATAGGTGATATACAGGTAGCCGCGCAGGTGACTTTGTTCAAAGTCTACCTCTGTTATATACAAATGTAGAAGAATAAACCATATGCTTACCAGTCTCGTCACCTATAGCCCATACAAGCAGATCGACGCACGCCGAATTGGCCATCACGTTCACTTTGAACTTGTTTACTGAAGCGAAGTTATTTTCTCTGTCTTCTTTCTCAGAGGCATCGTGGTGCCGGCTCTGTAGTTCTGTTTGTCCGCTTAAGAAGAGGCATTTTACAAACTCCTATAAAATAGATAAATAAAATGATATATAATTCATTTGATATAACAAAAATGAATGCAATGTTTACTGTGTACTGTACGCATAATACATCTTTTTAGTAACCGTGCTCCCAGCCCTCAAGATACAAGTCTGACATAGTTTGTTACCAATAAGAGAAATTAAATTGTATTGTAGTAAATAATTAATGTAAATGTACAAGTACAAATCCATGTGTTAAGAATTAATAAATAAATAAAACAAATCGCTATGAAACACGGCTAGGTTACTGGTTTCATGATTTCATCATTGTGATCTGGTGATTAACGCGGAAGGTAGCCGTTGATAGGGCCTAATCTAGAGCCATAAACATAACTACATGACATATTTTTTGTCACTGAAGTAAGAAAACTACGAAATTTATTTAAATATAATTTCTATGGATGCAATCGTAGTTTTTCAAATAGGAACGTAGTTTTTAGCATTCCGTATGCCGGGTTCATCAACTCCAAGCAGTCTCTTTTAACTCAGATGTATGTATGGAAAGGTTAATAAATGACGTACTTCTGAGGTAACAAGTATAAAAAATATACAATCCGATTGAGAACCGTCCGTTTTCGAAATCAGATTAAAATATAAATAACAATACACACATATCACGGTTTATATGATGACAATGGATTAGAAGTTATTTAAGATATATTTAAAAATGTTCACCTGGACATCTTTAGTAAAGGGGCCCGGAAGATTCTTCTGATGTTGCAATAATTCCCGTAGCAGAGTTACCATTACCAAATTCAGGGTTTCCGAGAAAGATTTATATGGAAAAACCTGTAACAAACATTATCAAGTATATACATAGAGTGTCTCTAAATGCTTGAATATATACAGATGAGATAGTTTGTAATTGGGATTTTTTTGTAATCCCATTACTAGCAATGTCTTGTTAAGTTGACCACCACACAGTCCTCTCTAGAAACCATTAATTCCTAGTGTATTCGCCACGATCGTCCTCCTCATGACTGATTTATTCATCTTCCACTTATACACCACATATTCATTATAAGAAAAATCTACTAATAGGTGAAAGAATTTTTAATATCGGTTAGGTATTTTTTGAGTTTATCTATTGTAAACATTAAAATCTTCTCTTTATAATATTACAAGAGCCCACGCATTTTCGTCTTTTTAAAAATAAAAAAAAATAATTAGCATTGTTGTAGCATGATGTTTTGAAGCCTTTCTCAATAAATGGAGTTATACAACACTAAAAGAATATTTAAAATCTGATCAGTTGCGCCGTAGATTATATCCTGAAAAACATTACCGATAATATCAAGTAATCTTTACTTGATATTATTGTTTTTTGTAATTGTTTATATAGAAAATTGATATTGAGGAATTATTTTTTAATTATATTTATCATAATTTAGATATTATGTATTGTTGCATCAATAAATATAATAATAGCGTGATAAACCCTTAAGAAAAGTTTTAATATAAGTGTTTGAGGCCGTATAGCTTATATCCGTATCGATGCCCTATAATTCGCAAATTCAATGCCCCCGGTACAAATATAAGGAAACAAGTTTCATGAGTGGAAATAATAGTACCTAATTAAAACATAGATAATGCAGACAAATAGATAATAAAACATAGATAATAACAGATAACATAACATGTGGTATCTATAAATCGTGCGGAAGGGGGTTTGCATTAAATAAATAACTCTCATAAGATTACACATTTTTTTTTTGTATGATGACGAACTGTAACTATTCTATAAAATATTAGATTAAGGTAAGATATATATATACATATATAAGTTTTATCGTACCTATATCTTTTGTATGCAGATAACGATCACGACATTATTATTACATGTATAGACAGACCTCTTCATTCCCAGGGTCTCGTAAAAGCCGTCTCAAACAAAATACAATTAAAATAGCGTAACACTGGACATAAAATCCTATACTAAGCCATATAAGCCGGATGGTACTAACAATAAACTCAAAAGTAATAGGAAAACAATGGGATGTTAAGAGAAAGGGTAATGTGAAATAGATTATTACCCTTCCTCTTAACATCCCATCAGATCGAACTATACGCAGTTCATCATGAAAATCATAGTGGTTCTGTCCTAATAATTTTAACATAGTCTAAGTGCAGACGAGACACTAATTTGGTTAAGTGACTATTAGAAAATCATGAATCTCAATCTCCCAATTTGCTTGTTTGCCTGTCTTTATTTTGTAATATCTGTACCTTTAAAATTGTCGTATCCTTGTACAAGTTGTACTTTGGAATAAAGATTATTAGTATTTAAATATATATCTGTGTTATCTACTAAGCCTGGTGGCAAGTAATTTAGTAAAAAATGCTCTATTCACCTACTATTTTCAAACAATAATAAATTACATTAAGTGAAGAATGTAGAAAATAGACTTCAAATTTGGAAAATAAAATTGAATATCAAAAATTTTATGTTTTCATCAAGCAGTTTATTATATTCATAATGATACTGTAGTCAAATAGTAGAAGCTATAGATATATAGATTACTCGGGACTTCCCCCATAACTGAATGAAAATTGTACTAACTTGAATTTGTCCGGAAGCGTAAATATCCTCAGCTTCTTCATCCAGGAACGCGAGCAGTTCTTTCGTCAGTAAATCCTTAGCCACCGTCAATATTGACTGCAAATACGCCACATAGAACTGGACGTTGATCCTCTTCTCAGGAGATTCCGAGAACCTCATATAAGGGAATTGATTGAAGCTAGATCCGAACTTGTGAAAGAAGTACGTGGTAGGGTCATAAGGTACTGAACTATAGCTGTGTAAGGAGCCTCTTTTAAGGGTCCCCCCGGAACTATCAACGGTATCCGTGCCATTAACCATTCCGTTCTCATTATTAGGATTCAGATTTCCCGATAAGGAACGAGGAATAATTGGTCTGAATTGGTTGAATTTCCTCTTCTTGTCTAATGTGGAATACTCGAAATTTGTTTCAGGTTCTTTGGACTTCAATGGACTGCTGGGTTGAGGAAAAAGGCGGCATAGTAATGGAGGGTCCACAGTTGCATATCTGCCCATTGATCTAGCTAATCCTATCAGAATTGGTATTGTACTTTTGCATAATTGAAGCTTTGAAATCGTTTGCGTGTAGTCTTTGCTCTCGTGACAGTTAATGATTGTCTTCGTCAGATTCGACATAAGCTCAATTTGGGCTTTGATGATTTCTTCCCTGGTGGAAGGCTGTTTGGCAGCGATGTCAGAGAGGAGTGTATTCAGACAGAAACTGAACTTCTCTGACATAGGAATGCCTGGAACAAATAATATATATTAATTTAATTTAAAGGTAGACGATATACAAAAGTTACATATAATAAAATCGTAAAATTTTGACGAGACGAAAAATGTCTGTTCGTCTGTTAGTGTGAGCTGTCACGTAGAAATGGCTGTAAGAATAACAAAGAAATTGTCACAGAATATCAAGCCATAGTTTTTAAACATGGCTGATTATGTAGACTAATAAAAACTTAATAACACACATAATTAGATACGCTATAATTAGTTTTGAGGATGTTTTTTAACTAATTCATTATTCTACAACTTTCTTTAACTCATTATTCAAATAATGGATGGCGTCATACAGGTGAATGTATAAATAACTTGCTCCTCTCACCGAAAATACATTATATATTAAAAGACAAAAACACAATAATAAACAAGACAAAGATGTAACAATGGGCGACCTTAAAGCTAAAAGCGATCTCTTCCAGGTGCTTTATGAATTGTTGTCGTTTGATGACCATCAATAGACGGCGATCTACAAATATATACATTTCACGTATTACGATTACAAATTGTAGCTTTTAATAATTACATACATCCATATCATTCATATATATTACAATGTAAATATATACAATACATAAAAGTATGTATTGTAGCAGAAAACTATTGTGTTTTCTATATATTTTCCGATTGCAATGATTATACAGTAATATTATGGTAATTATCCTTTGTACAACGTAACAAGCGACCTTGACATATCAATTTGTCACCGCTTGACCTTCGAGTGAATATATAATGACAATAATTAATAATTACACTAACTAACAATAATAATAATTGTATATATAATGAAGACGAAACAGTTTTTTAAACTATATTTATAAAAAGAAATATTATTATTTTAAATAAGTTATAGTCAAACCGCATTACCAATACTATCAATATTCTCCATTTTTGGGGTTCTCCATTCTGTAGAGAAATAAAACTTCGATATATACTACTATGTATGTACTAGGATTTTTCGATCGCGAAAAAGCGTTCCCGTCGGGTGGAGTGCTGGTGGCAGCGGAAAGAAAACATCGACAGAGGAGAGCGGGGGAGTCCTCTATAGTGTTGTGAGAGGAAAATGTTCTAACACGCATTCCTTTTTTTAATATTTGTTACTCCGTCTCCGTCATTATACACCGAAATAAAGAATCTTTTTAAATTTCAGATTGACATACTTTCAGATTGCTCCCATTTGTTTTCAAGATTTCGTTGTCGGTTTTTTTGCTAAAATTATTGTTATTATTGGATCAATGTTTAGCTATATTACCTCAGCAATATACTAATAGCTATTAAAAATAACTACCAACCCAAACTAGACGTTTGTTTTGATAATAAAGTCTAATTTTAGGTGTACCATGGAAATTCAGAAATTAGGAATAGCAATGTCTGTATTCCGAATACTAACAGCACACGGTAGTGACAGAATTGTTTACATAGATGCAAGTAGTTTTGAAGATTATTTCTATCGTCAAATCTATACATATAAAAAAAATTGGAGTGTCTGTTTGTAATATTGAAATAAACGTTTTTTACTACATGCATATGAATATAAATACGGCACATACACCAAAATAACATTTTTCACAATTTTTGTCTGTCTGTCTGTTTGTTCCGGCTAATCTCTGAAATGGCTGGACCGATTTTGTCGGGACTTTTTTTGGCAGTTAGCTGTTGTAATAAGGAGTAACTTAGGCTACTTTTATTTTATAAAAATAAAGTTAAATTCCACGCGGACGAAGACGCGGGTGCAGCTACTATAAAATAATTAAATAACATAAACTCACTCACATCTTGTATAATCTAAACGAAAAGCAGCATCTTTACATAGTATGAAATGAAAACGCTACCACTGTCTATACGCTTAGATCTTTTAAATAAGCTACGCAACGGATTTAAAATCAATTTTAGTAATAGATAGAATAAATGATTCAAGAGCAAAGGTTTATATGTAGGTATAATACATGTACACCCATGCGAAGCCCCGGCTTCAGCTTCCAGCTTCGGCCCGAGTAGTTAGGTTATAAAATATAATCAATAACAAACAATCAAAAGCAGTAAATGTTTGTTTTAGTGTAGGTTTCCATACTGAACCTCCAGTCTATTAAAAATTATTTACCTTATCAAAATCTACAAAAACACTGATCAATAATTAAAGAAAATAAAGAGTTGCCAGAGGGGACAGCCACATGAAACAACTAGTTTAATATAACAACAAATACAAAATATCCTGAGATAAAAACTGAGGCTCCTAAGAATATCCTCCAATTCTTGTCCCTGACGGGTCTAGGTAACTTTGAAGAAAGGCGAGCACAATAGATCTGTACAGGTCACAGCACCTAATAATAGCCCAAAACCCCCAATAAAAAAATATATAACAAGGCAACAAATTCACAACATCAATGTAGTAAACATTATAATAACGCTAATCATTATAATTTTTGCCAAAATTATAACGATTCTTATCGTTAGATATAATTTAAGCTGAAATTATATATCTAAATTAGAATTTGCATTATTGCAGTTTACATAATATCTAGATTTGTCAAACTGGTCATAATAATTGTACTACCATTTACATATAAATAGGGTTCAATATACTTTGTAGGAATAATATGTGAGCCTTACAAATCCTTACTAATAATATTATAAATATGAAAGTAACTATGTCTGTCTGTCACGCTGTCTAGACCCTGAGAAAGGATAAGCTTTTAATCTAAAAATAGGTTACAAGGGGTCAAAAGGGGAGATGAAATGGTTTTATGGAAGTATCGTCATATTTAAAGCTAGTATTTTTAGGCTGTTGATTAAATATATATATACATATATAACATTTGAATTTTGTTAAAAAAATCCTTAAAGGGGTAAAATAAAATAACTGTTTGTATACAGTTGTTTGTAAAGTTTGTATGGAAAATTGTCATTTGTCGTCTATTCCTGCGGACGAATAACCGGGCACAGCTAGTTATAATTATAAACTTTAAATAGTATCAATTTGGTAGAGCGTATTAAAATATTTTTAGTACCTTCTACTTTTATAGAGTACAAGAATATAAATGTTATATTAGAAATTACGTCAGTCAATAACATGTTGAATCATTGTTGGAGTTAATATCGGAAGATACTAAAAACGTGATCAGAATATTATGGATCACGTCATCATTGACCAGATAATTTTTAGGTATATGCTTTGCTGTACAGGGCTAATCATTGTAGGTAAACCAAGGTAAAAGCGAGTTTGTGAAAAACGAACTATTCTTTCTAAAACTGTGGTTCTTAATCATTGATGGGTGATTGGAAAAAATAATCTCGACATTGACCAGCAACTGTTTTAGGGTTTTTTTTTTTTTTATATTTAAATACATTTTTCCACAGACATATTCGTCCGTGCCTTTTTTAATTTACTTTAATATTATAATATTTATTTAATTTCCATTTTTGTACAACTCCAGCCGAGATGTTACAATTTGCCTAACAGTGACACCGAGGCAGACCTTATCCGTCTGGCCCAGAACCACCGCTGGCCGGCCGGGTGAGTTGACAACATGCAGTGTCACCCATCTTTATTTGGAGGATTAGATTTATCAATATGCATATACAATTATATAAATCTTACACTACTACTAATTTCACAGTTTTCATTACATTGTGCAATGTAAGAATTCATAATGTAACAATACACATTATGAATCCTTACACTGCATATACAATTATATGAATTCTTATTTTAAAGTATTCTTTAACTATTCAAAGTTCACTATTTGTTATAGTCCAGGTTTTGTTTAATTATTGATTGTTTAAAAAAAAAAAACTGTTTTAGGGTTACATGCAGTACACGTGACTAAATCATTGGTCTTTCTATATTACAAAAGAAATTTTGCTCTATATACAAATCGCTCATAAACCTAGTCAAAGCCTATATTAAGAATGATCTCACGAACCGTTTCAGACGCTTCCGTGGACCAGCTGTAGTCCGCGGACCACAGGTTAAGAACAGTGCTCCGTCCATAAAGACGTATTTAAAGGGTTGGAGGGTGAGAGGCAATATAATTACAGGATGGATGGATGGATGGATGTATGACAGAGGCATAACTTCTTAGTCCTCTGGGGTAACACGTGGGTGATATCGTAGACATCGCATGAAGTCCGTAGTTCTGTTCATGTATATAGACGATGATTAAGTACATATATAGGTACATGAACAGCACTACCGACTTATAATTAAGTTGGCCATTACCTTGTTTGTACTGGCTTCTTTTTTTTATTTAATGTTATAAAAAAAAAGAATCCATGAAAAACCCATGACTTGTTTGCCATTTTAATAAAATAAAAAATTGAGTCACACAATCATAAATGTCTATGAGGATTTTATTTTCTATTTTCTATTACAGGTCTTTGGGAATGTTCGTCATCTTCATTAATATGTATCACTGGAAGAAAGAGTAGTAACCTATGGCAAAAAAATTAAAACTACACTTTACAAAGCATCTCTAAACGTACCTAATTCACGGTACAGTAAACAATGTAGTTATTTTTAGACATTTTACTATTTCGTAGTAGCACCAACAAACACGGTCATTTGACAAACAGTTCAATTTTAGATGATTATTTAACGATTATCATTACAGCTGTTAAAAATGTCGCGTTTATTTTTAAACGGCAGGCTCTATATAAAATATGGTATAAAAGGGCGGAATGCTGCATACACTTCATATCATTTGAGATAAGTATTCAATAAACATACAAAATGGTGAAAAGCTTCCTGATCCTGATCGCAGTAGTGATGCTGGCCACTTCTGTGAGTACTCGTTGGTTACTTTTAAATATTTATTTAAGTGTAAGCTATTTCGAGCATTATGGTTGTTATCTATACATATAATAAAAAATTACTGATCGCTGTATCGGAGTAAAACTATTAATGGGAGGCTTTTCAACATAATAGAATAGAAAATTGTTGATTGTCTAAGCGTTTGTGGGCGCTAATATCAAAACGATTTAACTAATGTGGATAGTGCTTTTTCACTACTATATTGTGGTAAATATTACGCATAATATTGAGTTTGTATTATTCCAATCGTATATCTATTGGAATAATAAAAAAGAAATAACCACGAAGTCGCATTGAAATTACCTTGGTCACAGACCATAAAATTTTAAGAAATGGAGATTCTATATTCTGCTCTTTATAATATATAATATAATGTAATCATACTTATCTTATGTAATATTACTCAATAAGAAGTGCACATTTATAAGGGCCCTGATCGATTTATCATAACATATTGTATTTACAGACCCACCAGCAATCTGCAGGAGAATCGGGTAAGTTATATATATTATTTATGTATACTAATTTAAATTGATCCCTAATGATTTAGAACAAAGGGTAAATCATAAAGTTTCTACAAGCCAAAACCAAGTAAAAATACTCATGAAAATTAGTAATATTCACATAGAAACAAATTGAAAATCTGAAACAAATATGAACTTTTTATACGATTGAATTAAGGTGTTAATAACTATTTTCAATTGTCCGCTTAACTTCTTACGTTTAACACTAAACCTATCTGATGCATAGATAGAAGGATGCCAAAGATAACTGAGAACATTTAATGAATTAATTTAATTTAATATATTTATCGGAATATATTTTCACATGAATGTGTACGCGTAATCCTTTTCATCTTAATACCAAAAAAATAAAAATTTATTCCTACTGACTACAGAATTAGATATCTAAGACGAAAATTAATTAATACGGAGTATATGTGGAGTAGTCAAAGACATTGGCAACTATAACTAGGTACTAATGAGTATTTTTTCTATAAATGTGTTCATTTTCTGCAGGTGCCGGAGCTGGTAGCGTTGGCGGAAATGCCGGTGGCAGTTTTGGAGGTATTCACAATATTGGGTCTTGAAATCTGGATGGATTTCAAGCATAAGATACACTATAGACTGTCTTTATGTAATTTTTTAATATTGAATTAATAATTTAATAATGAATACCATTTCATTTCATTTAATTTCAAAACTACTCTACAAATTTACAGCCGGATTCAGTCTAGGAGCCAGTGCTGGTGGACAGGCTGGAGGTCAGGCCGCCGGGCAGGGTACAGGTGGTGCTGGGGCCGGCAAGTAATCGGAAATATGGTATGGTATGAGTGATTAAAATATAAATTTATCTCCGGCTCCTATGACTGATTTTTTCACATTGACAGTTCGAAAATATTTCTATACCAAGAAGTATAAAAAAATAGAAACTAGCCATCTACCCTGGTTTTGTACGTAATATAATTTTATTCTGTACCCTAGCTGTATATTGATAAAAACTGGATGAAGTTGTATGAAGTAATTTTCGCATATATGTACATACATATGTAAATGAATAAAATATTACAAAACTCTTGTATTGAATTCTGTTGAACTAAGACTACCCATATTAGCATGTTATCAGAATGTCTAAAGTACTGACATTAGATTATTACGATTTTATTATATATACAGACATGATATTAATTCTGATATATTGAATGTATATGTTATATTATGCAAATTTTAAGAAAATTGTATAAATTTGACAGATGGGCAAAGGCAAGTAACAATATGTCAACTATTCAGTGCCTTGTGACAATAACAATTTGTTGGTGTTGTAATAATATTTTGAATTATCAATTAATGAGTTATTGCTATATCACTTACTTATTATCACTATTTTATCTATTTGAGAGTAAGAAAAGACTGCACTACTTAAAACTAAGTACCAGGCATGATATGGGTCTAAATTTAGTTTATATATTATAAATAAGATGGTTTAAGTATGTAATTTTTGATAAATGTAAATATCTTTTGCAGAAATAAACATCAGCATACTTTATGGAAACACAGGACAACATTTTGACATTTTAATTTGGAAAGAAGATTTAACAATTAACTAATACTATTACTAATAATTAGAGTCAATAAACATACATACATAATATGTCACTTTAATTTTAATCTACCTATCTTTTTTACTGCCACTGAATTTCTCTTTTTACCTATCAGCTGACTTGTTTGCACACAAGTGAGAAAGGGTATGGAGAGAAGTACGGTCAAAATACACTAATATTGTACCATTTTTCATTGAATCTCATTCGTATTGGCTATAGATTTATTTATAGTATAGATTAAATTCTAACCTCCTTTCTTTTTTTAAAAAATTACAAAATTTTAAGTTATAGCACAATAATTGTATGGATAATTAAGAAAAGAACTACTTACGATCAATATTTTTAACTCTACACTGAGGCTCTTCAAACTGTGCATTATTGAGACACTTTAGAACCTTCAAAAAGTACGGGAGCAGTTTGTCTTGATGCTGCTGTCCGCTGTGTAGGAAGTAGAGGCCAAGAGCTATGCATGCCTCCTGACTCCGAGATGTCACTACCAGTGATGAGCTGGCTTGCGGGCACAGCATAAACAAGGTGTTGACCTGTACAATTTATAAATTATGTATGGATAATAAAATATACAATCATGGCTGTTGACCATAATGATTACTGGGTCTATTGTTACTACTCAGAGGCTCTAACAACAATTGACATGTCCACATTCAACTATGTATACTTGAAATCAACATGACATATTTTTCTTTTGATTTACATGGCTCTCAGCATAATTCTTGGTCCAATTTCTCTGATTTACATTGCTCTCCAATTAATTCTTGCTCTATTGAAGGTATTTTTTTTACCAGTACAATACATATCTTGAATTGATATTTCAAATAAGTATAATCATGGGATGATGGGACATTTTGTCAATTATACATGTCAAACTTTTATTGAACTAATGTTTTCTCCCTACCAGCCAGGTCAATTTGCCAACAGGTATACAACAGGTTCAACCTGCAGGTTAAATTGAGAAAAACTGTCAAGAAATCCAACTGAATTTTTTACACAAATCAATCAAACACATATCTTTTCTTTCCATAATAGCTCAGTAAACATTGAACTTTCATAGAATAAAATAAAAAAATGGTCTTCTAAATATAATAGCCACATTTTAAGTATATACTGATCCAATAGTGCACAAATTAGGTCCAGGGTTAAATTCTCGGTTAGATTCACAAAAAACTTTTACGTCCCCAGTAGTTGGTTTATATGTTTACAGGCTTATAGCTGAATAAAAGTTTTATTGCAACTCTGAGAGCCATGCTTGTCGAACTATAGTATAATTAGCTCAGAATTTATATAAATTTAAATATTTCTATATTTATTATATTATATTGTTAGGTGTAACTTCCTGTGGTGGCGCCACCGTCGTGCGGCGCGTCTATAAAAGGCTGCGAAACCCAGAACGACAGATGTGCTCTCGAACGAATCTCCGTATCATACCGTGTTTGCTTTATAAGTTCTTTTACTGATTTTGTTAAAATTAATTATACGATTTGTTATATGTTTCTTTTATTTAATTAAATTTAGAGGATATTCCTAACAATATATATATATCTTAAATATTTAACACATTAAATATTTATATGTATCTATCATTAGACTCTATAACAACCTGTAACATACCATGTAATATCAAATTTAAAATAATTCTGCAATCTGAGAGATTAAAACACTAACTAGCCTTTGTAATTCTCAGCTGCCTATAAAATTTTCAATTCCTCAAAACTACCTTAAATGCATATTAGTGATTATGACTTCATATATTTCTTTTTAATGAATGCTATTAGTATAGGAGGGTCATTATCACAAAGATATCAATAAAATTGACGTCAAAACAGTGATGAGATCATGGTTTGTAAAAACACAACACGAAACCTTTATGATCCCTTAATAAAAATAATTCAGAATGAATAATGTACAAAGATAATCTTTACAAGTTTCCACTAATTTAATAACACTACATTAATAGGAATCCTTTCGTAATAGATTACAAAACAAGTAATTTTGAAACAAACCTTTTCCCATGGCGTTGGGTTTATGTTCGATAAACAACGCGCCAAATGTTGCACTGTCTCTTTGAAGAACTCGTGTTCATCCATTATTAGTTCATATAAATTCGATAAAAACCATTTTATGTCCTGAAAATTATTTTTACTAAATATGAATGTCGTTCATGAAATGTAAGTTCACTTCTGTGATTTTTGATTGACTGACTGAGTTTGACTGAAACTGAAAAACGACAGAATAACACTGTGATACAATCAAAGGATACAATGTTGTCAATATTTCGGTAACTGACAGTTTGACGTTTCTGTCAGTATCACTATCAGTTATTCCAGACGTTTGACAAAAACTTCAATTTATCTATAAAGGATGTATTCAAATATCAATTATGAATCGAATATTACTTTATGGTACGATATCAGTTTGCTAGTTCATCACCCAAATAACAAATTGACTAGATAATAATGTAGTAAGGTACTTTTGTTTTCTGAGATTTTCTTATGAATTTAATGGATGAAGGTTTTATTAGACCATAGGTTCAGGGGCGGATCTTCCTAAGGGTTTCTTGGGCTGCAGCCCAGGGCCCCGAAGATACAAAGGGCCCCCAGTCCCCACTAAAACGATATTTAGAATATAAAAAAATATTTACAATGTTAAAAAACCTATCATAAGGTTGGTAACCCTAAAATCAATGCAATCAACCCATGCAAGTGCAATATTTCTGGTTGCAGGCTGTACGGCCCAAGGATCTTTGCCTGTTCCATCACTGAAAAGGAGATGGACGAATATGGGAAAAAAAAATTCTGGTTGCTTGTTTTTGGTCGGTGTATTTTTTTAGTTGAGTAATATAATTAGGTATATCCCTTAGTAGATTTAGGCCAGGGCCCACAAATTCACGATCCGCCCCTATCTTAGGTTGGTCTTATATTAATCTGATGACCCGATAAATTGGATGTGATTAATTCTGTATTTTGATTTGAATCCTTATTTCCGTTCGTGTTGTCCTCACGCAATAAAACTTAATCTCAAATCGTTAAAATGTATTAATATATTCAACATATTCTAAGCACTTATGCATATGAGTTTTTTTATATTAATATTATTACTTTTCGAACATTTATACTTAGTCATGAATATGTAGCTCAGAAAATAAAAAAGAAAATATTCACACGGAAATTATCACGATGGTTTCTACGGGGAAATAGCTATGGGGTCATAAGCCACAGTAGGTACTAAAAACCTCTTCCCGCATATATATGAATAGGACTGTGTAAAATTCCGCAGTAACACAAAGTGAAGGGTGTAACTTTATAAAGTTTCAAGCTGAATTTAGTGGTTAAGTATAGGTATACATACATATATGTATGTAGCATTTTTTCGGAAAGGCAGAAAAACACCTTCCGGTACCTACAGTACCTAGTACCACACAGCTGTAGAGAAGGCCATATGTACATCTACGCATTGTTGGTTTGGAAAACATCACCACTGTTCAAATAAGTTGTTTCGCTCGATATATTTCATTGTAGCGAAAAAAGGATTTGCATATTTAGTGCACGGTTATTTAGTAGACGTTATTGGTTAAATGGTTACTATGTCATTTATGTAATGGTTCAATATTAAAAATTAACTGAAAGGAAGCATCGTTATAGGTATCATAATCATAAATTATTAGATTTCGTTCGTCAAAAAAATCGTAACCTATGTAATCAACATAGGAATACTTAGTCTATTGATTTCCGTAATAATTTGAATGGATATATACACTCAAATAATATAATCGAACTAACTGACTCTAAGCGATTTTTATTTCAACCTTTGTATTGCAAATATACAAACAGACATCAAATGTATTCTATAATATTAGTTCATATATACAAAAAAGCTCCTGTATTGAAGTTGATTAAATATTAAAATATTCAAGTCCTCTATTGAACCTCCGCTACGAATGTGAAACACTTGATGAATCTCTATATAATATAGGTAGGTAATGTTTTTCAGTACACTTCAAGGTGCGTCATTTCATTAGCGACTGCGTTGATGTTGGATACATTTTTATCATTTTTATAGAAAAACAATGGAGTTCAGTGCCGATATCAAACCATTTCTGAGACAGGTGCGTACTTTTCTTTTATTTGGGTAAAGAGAAAATATAAGATTTTATTAATGTTTATTTATTATGACTAAACTTAACAAATATTTCACCAATTTTGAATGCTTGTGGGCCTTGTGGCCTTGTGGAAAAAAGAGTTCCTAAGAATACTTCTTTTTAAAAGGAAGGAAATTCTTAGATAATTGATTTTAATTAATGAAATTGTATACTTATAGGTAATTCATATAACTATGTATTTATGAAAAATATTAGATACTATATGTTCATAATTTAATTATACAAAAGGAACCAAAAACTAAAAACCTTATAAATATATTGCAATAACTAAAATCCACGTCCAGTTCAAAAGGGCTTCGAAATTACAACGGCCTGCGCCGAGGTTGGAACTCCTAGCGGTGGCCTTAGACTAGAGTTGTATCAGTCAGGCGGGAGTTGGTCTTCAGCCGCTCCATAAATTCCGCGGATTTAGAGTGCTATCTGCACTTGCCCTTTATAGCCCGGTGAAGCTGTAAAGCTGCTAATAACATTAAATTAGTTCGAAAATAATCATTACTATTTAAATTTAAGCATGTATACTTTCAGTGCCTGGTAACAACTGGTGTTTCAATATGTATGATGGAGCATAGTTTAGTCATGTCCTACACTGGCATACTGATACCACAACTGCGCAATGAAACTACCATATATGAAAATGAGAATAAGGAATCTTGGATTGGTAAGTAGTTACTTTGCAAATGCTCGATGTATCGCAGAATTTTCCTCTGAAACCGGCCAAGTGCTTGTCGAATTACTAAATATACTACTTGCACATTAGAATTACTCAAAACTCATTGGACAAATTTCACTTTTAGATGTGAAGAATAAACCGTGACTTTATCTTATCCAGATTTTCACAGATTTAACTTTGTCTGTAGGAAACTTTAAAGAAAGAACAATATATCGTTGTTCCAAAAATGTAAAGAATATCATACCTGTAATTATTTTTATACTTTTGTGTTTAATAACACATTAACAAATTGCATTGCAACAAACAGATAAACTGCTAAAAAAAGATTTTTTCTTTATTTAATTAATTTTGGTAGATCCATTTTTAGAATCGTATATATTAATTGTTTTAATAGTGTAAAACATTACATATTAGTACACCTGTTTAATCATCTGATTATCTTTTTCTTTCAGCATCTGTCCAAGGTATATCTTTATTTCTCGGCGCCTTAATGACATCACATATATTGAGTAGATATGGGCGAAGAAAAGCTAACCTCTTATGTGCCTCGATAATGATTGTGGGATGGCTTTGTATAATACTAGCTTCTAATATTACAACAATTTTAATTGGAAGATTTACTCAGGGCTTAGCACTAGGTATTTCAAGCGTATCTGGATCAGTTTTGGTTGGTGAATATACTTCTCCAAAATATCGAGGAGGCTTTTTAACAAAATTGTCGTTAACCATATTCATTGGAAGTTTTATAAGCCATATATTAGGATCCTTTCTCCATTGGCGTACAACAGCAGCCGTTTGCTTGGTAATAACAATCGTGGATTTGATTGTAATTTATATATCTCCTGAATCACCTATGTTTCTTGTTACAAGAGGCAAATTTGATGAGTGCAGGAAAGTATTTCACTGGCTCCGAGGTTCACATGAGAATGAAGAATTAGAAGGCATGATAAAAGCAGAAATACTATGCAAAGAGACAACAACTCGTCCAAAGACTACAGACCTTTCAAGTAAAATCAGTGCTATGATACTTATTATGAAAGATCCTCAATTTTTTAAACCATTGCTTGTAATGTTACATCTGGATATAATAAATATGTGGAGTGGAGGCATCATGATAGATGTATACGCCAGTGATATATTTCAAAAAGTCATGGGAAGCGATACTAATGTAGCTTCCGTTATAATTACTGTCGACTGCGTTAGGATAGCATTAGCATTTTGTGCTGTTTTCATTCATACAAAATTTAGACGACGTCCAATGCTTATATTATTTGTTAGTCTAAATGTGGCTGCTTATTTTCTCATTGCTGGAAGTTATTACTTTAAGAGCAAAGAGGTAGCATTTTTTAATAACCCTAAAATAGGTTTTGTACTTATCATCTTTCACGCATTTACTACTGTTTTTGGAGCAGTAACTCTATCGAATATTTTAGCCGGTGAAATTTTCCCTTTACGATTTAAGGCGATAGAGAGTACAATATGTATATTATTCTTAGCTGTTAATATCACAATTAAAATGAAGACAGTGCCGTATTTGTTCTCCTCCATAGGTTTATCTGGTGCGTATTGCCTGTACGGTTGCATAATAGCCTACGGACTGATAGTGGCAGTTGTCATGATGCCAGAAACCAAAGGAAAATCTTTGTTGATTATCGAAAATTATTGGAAAAATGAACAACCGACAAAAGGCGAGTTAGCCTCGCTTGCAGAAAGATCTGCATAATATAGATACTTTGGAAATTATTATAGTAAAAATAAAATCACATTTTTATTGTGAAGCATTCTAGAGATATTTTTTATATATATGATATATCTACCTACTTGTGTTTCATGTATCAAATTTTTACATAATCATTTATTAGCAGAGATTATTTAATTTTTTGTTATACTACTACTATTTAATGTTACCAACAACTATACAGGTAGGTATGGTATTTATAATATATCTGATGTACGTGATTTAGTGCTGCATGTTGCCATGACAGTTTTGAGAAAATATCTGTTTTAGTGAAATGTTAATTTAAGAACCTCTTTATGCTTTAACATTAGGAATATCGCACTTTGGTCTCTCTTGTAGGTTTAATTTTAAGATTTTAGTGCCCACTTTTCACGCTGTAGGTATAATTGTGTTGATGACTATTACACTTATAGGCCATAATAAAAATTATAAGCCTAAAATAAATATTATTAAAATTCAAACCAACGCGGTCTCTATGTTTTCTTTATTTGATTTTCATTTGTTAATTGTGTTTGTTTTGTTTATTAAACTGACTACTAGATATGATTTGAAATCAGAAAGTTTCGTGCTATTTGAAGATTTACATATTTTAAAATAATTCAAATAGCATAAAATGGAAAACATACGAGAAGGCTCATAGAAAATATATTTCTATTTTATTATTGTACAAATTGTATTGTGAAATTATTTTTTGTAGTTCTTATCATATGTAAATAAACTTATTATGTATAACGAGTCCATTTATTAAAATGTTAATGTTGTGAACCTACCGTGTTTTAATGTGCGTCATGTAATTTAGGGTTCCTGCATACGACCTTTATTGACGGCTTCGTTGGTCTAGCTGTTTTCACACCGCATTACTTCCGATGGCCCCGAGTTCATGGGTATGATTGTTTGTATCGGTCTGGGTGTTTCCTATGTATTTATTTAAAAAAAATGTATATGTGTATATATCAGTTATCTACTATCCATAACACAAGCTCTACTTAGCTTATATTATGTTATCTGTGGCTTGGGACTAGATGACGCTATGTGAATTAACCTGAGCTATTTTTATTATTTCTTCTGCTTATGGCGCGAGGTACAGTTAACATCACTTTTCATTCCCGTTATCCCAAATGACAGAAAAATGTCTTATTATGTATAGGTATCCCCACACATCTAATCTAAAATTATTTCGACATAGGAATGGATGAAATTATTAGTACTTAATATAGACTAATCAACGCCTAATTGCTAATCATATACGTTGTAGTTATCTCCCAACAATCCAATAAAAAATATCTCCCCCACAGAAATTCCTGCTGATTTCGTCGTGCTAGCTGACCTGACTTCATTTTCATATCTAATATAATTATCTAATAATATAATCTTTAACTGTACCAACCATTAGCGCGGGCGGTTAGACAATATAAATAATATAAAACTAAAAATACAAATTAATATATTACAGTGTTAGTATAATAAGTAAATAAAACAAGGGCATGTCTTAGCTTAAAATATGTAGCATACCTAAGATTCTTTTAAGACCTACTGGACAACATAACTACTGAATCTAGTTAGTTTTTCAGTTTACACTTGACATTTTCTATAAAGAAAATAACATTTATCCTTTACCAACTGTGTATACAAATGCGATTCATTAGTTTTAAAATTTTTGAATGTGACATTCATTTCAGTGAGGTATTTAAGAGAGAGTGAGATTATTTAATTATGTAATAATCTTGATTAAAGATGAGTTTTATATTAGAAATAAAACCGTTCCTAAGACAGGTGTGTTGTGATTTTAATACATTTATATTTTGAATTTTAAAAATACCAGTTCGCTACGAATGTATGTTACGTTGGATTTGTATTTTTTATATTATCGAAGAATTTCTATTTGTCATAAACTTAATAACATTTGTGAATGTGATTTTTGACAGTAAGTACCTACCTATTTGTTATTTTTTTAAGACTTTTGAATGTATTTCCATTACAATATTGCATTATTTTTATGTAAGTTCGTATCACTGTTTTTTTCCTGTTGTGTAAAGAATAAATCGAAACTTTTACTAACTAATGCCCAACCCGATAAGTACCAAGTGTGATCTACTTCTTTACAAATTCTTATATTATTATACGCTAACGAACAGTGGTGGACGAAAGGATAAGTAAAGTCAGGCGGGGTATTAAATACCCATTGTTTCCAGGAAGGATTGGAAGGTTGGGGTTAACCTGGCAGGATACTTATGGAACCACTAGTTCTCATACCTAATAACCCGTCTGTACCCAAAAATTAATTACAGGAACTTTAGATATATATAATTATTATCTTCGCAATTTCAGTGTCTTGTGACAGCCGGAGTTTCCCTGTGTATGATGGAGCATGGCCTAGTGGTATCGTTTGCTAGTGTGCTGATACCACAGTTGAGAAAAGATGACATATATGTCAATGAGAATATGGAAACTTGGATTGGTGGGTATACCACGGTTGTGAGAATATGAATAAAAAGTGTCAAATAATTTTCTGGAAAGACAACTGGCTGACCACACACCTATTGACTATGGGCTGTAGTAACCGTTACATATATATGTATATAAACAGCACCACGAACATCCTCTCAACATGTACCAATAGCGATATAAAACAACTTAGTCTTGCGATGAATAAAATAATACCATCCTATGATTTGTAGCTCATGGATTTACATAATAAAGACATATTGAGTTTACAAATATTAGTACAAACAATGTAGTATAAGAATAGAAAGGTAAAATAAGATATTTATGATTTAAGAACAGAGTCAAGGCACTACTCCAGTCAGCTCCTGGCCACGTCCTATGTAACCTGCTCAAAACATAGAGAAAACCTAGGTAATTTACATTTACAAATAATGCTAATTGCCTTATAAATGTATAAAACATGTACAATAATGTCATCATATCACTTCAAATCGAAACAAAAGATTGTACGCGGCGGTGCTTCACGGCAGAAATAAGTTAATTGTGGTAGACGTATTTAATTAACAAATATAAGCAAAACCAGAATAAAAAATACTCTAAAGGTGATCATTATAGCTTCTTATAAAAATATGATTTAAGAATAAGGTGTAGATAATATAATATTCGTTCAAGAACCTCACTACATGAGAACTTCTGGATCTTTCCTTTTCTGTCTAGATATTTTTTTTAATTCTTTGGCAATTATTAGCACAAAAATAATTTAAATTTTATCTTTTGTTTCAGCATCTATACAAAGTACTTCATTATTTTTGGGAGCATTTATAACGCCCTATATGATGTCTCGATATGGACGAAGAAAGGCCAACCTGGTATGTTCTGTTTTAATGATCGTTGGCTGGATCAGCGTTATGGTAGCTCCAAGCGCCGGTATAATCCTGTTTGGAAGATTCATGCAGGGTGTTGCACTTGGTATTTCTAGCTTAACCGGGTCAGTTTTAGTAGCTGAGTACTCTTCTCCGAGGTACAGAGGAACCTTCATGACAATCATGACTCTATCTCTTATATCTGGCTGTTTGGTAATACATATTCTAGGTTCCTTATTTCCTTGGCGTAAAGCAGCCGGCATTAGTTTAGGTATAACAATCGTAGATTTGATTGTAATAGCAATCTCACCAGAATCTCCCATGTTTTTGGTCACAAGAGGTAGATACGATGAATGTAGAAAAGTCTTTCACTGGCTGCGCGGATTGAATGAAGATGAAGAATTAGAGGCCATGATTAAATCCGATATGCGAATGAAAGAGTCACATATTCGACCAAATACTAAAAAATTTATCAATGGAGTAAGAGAAATAATTCAAAATATAAAGGACCCCGAATTTTTTAAGCCATTAATTGTTCTATGGCATTTAGTCATTATAAATATTTGGTGTGGGGGTTTAATAGTGGATGTTTACGCTAATGATATATATCCTAAGCTTATGGGAAGTAATGTCGATGTCGTCAGTATTATAATTATTGCGGACTGCGTTAGGCTGGCGTCATTATTTTGCGCTATTGTTGTTCACACTAAATTTAAACGACGTCACATGCTTATACTACTTGTTAGTTTAAATGTGGTTATTTATTTCGTTATTGCCGGTTGCTCATATCTCATTGACAGAGGCTTTATTACTAACTCTATAGTAGGATTAATTCTAATTATTGTTCATATATTCATACATTCTATTGGAGCCACAGCTTTAACTAATACATTACCTGGTGAGATTTTACCTCTGAAATATAAAGGTATTCATAGTATGCTCTCTACATTCTTTGTATCACTTAATATTACAGTAGCATTTAAGACATTGCCATACTTATTTTCGCACATAGGACTGTCTGCTGCGTATTGTATTTATGGTAGTATAATTGCTTACGGAATGATAGTAGCAGCAATTATGATGCCAGAAACAAATGGAAGAACTCTGTTGTCTATTGAAGAGCATTGGAAGAAACCAGTGAAAGAGACATATCTAACAAAATCTTTATCGACTCCAAATGAGGATATATAAAACACGCTGTATACGCTAAAATTTAAATTAATTACAAGCTAATCTTGTAATGAATTTCAATAAGATTTCTAGTTTCAATTACAAATTAAAATATATTCAACTGTGATATACAAATTAAGGAATATTAAACAACATTATGTAAGCGATTCAAATAATTCGTTTCATTGCCCGAGAAATGTATGAAAGGGATGTAAAACATACATATGCTTTTCTTTAATGGATATTAATGGAATACGACGTGACGACTGCACTAACAGTACAAGATAGCGTGTTACCAGTGTAGTGTGGAATACGGATAAAATCAAGTGGGCTTTTCTAGACATTATTCCATGGATGATTTCCAAGTTTCCACGTAGAGCTCTATCTTTCTAATTGCTGCTTACTCTCTCATTCCCAATGGTTCCTCGCTGCGTACATTGCAAGGGCAGTCTTTGCTCTATTCCATTACCATCGAACAAAAAATGTCGTTGAACACCATACAATATCAATATTATGTAATTCACGAAACTATTATAGGTATATCACATTGTCATGTTACATAGTTACATGACTATCGTAACTGTTTACTATTCAAAGTACAAGGTTTACAACGAGTAACTAATTACGGTTCGAGCACCTCTAGCTGTCATTAACTAATTTATTTATCTATTTTAATTGTTAGCAGTCAACAATTAAAATGTTAGGATGTGTGCACATGAGCCCATAGTGGTTGTCTATGCCTTTTTTTAGATCACAAAAATCGTGAGTGTTAATATAGCAACAATTTATATTACTAACTTCCGATTACGGAAACATTTATAACAAACAGATTATATCTGAATGACGGTCGTAAATTCACACCTTTGCATTGTATTGGACTCGAAGTCGAGATATATTATTTTTTTTTTTTCCAAAAATTCTATTATTATTATTATTAACAATATGAGTATTGTGTTCACGAAGATGTCGAAAACTGGAAAATTTTCTGACTACTTTATTTAGAATTATCAACTAAAGCTATTAAGTGTACGTAATGACGTAACGATTGAGGGTAATATTGAGTTAATAAAATTATAATTACAATAAATGTCTTTTATTTTCTTATTCTCGGTTTGCGTTTATTGCAATTTGACGGAGTATCAAGCGCGCTACTTTTCCAATTGATGTCAACGGCAACTCGTCTACAAATACCACGCCACCTCTTAGTAATTTGCTTTCCGATAGTTTGTCTGAAATTTGCAAATGTAAGGGCATATTTTAATATTTTGTAAAAATCAGCTTTGTGGAGACTATTTGATAGACACATATAATGAAACATATTTTCAAAAATAATGGTAAATTTTAATTTATTAATAGTATGTCTCTCCTTTTTTACATAATTGTTTTTACTGTTATTTATTATTATATTATTATATTTAGAGAAATCTAAAATAATATTGGGAGGTAGGTAGGTAAAAGTTGAAAAGAAATTAATAATATAATATATAAGCGAAATTATATCATAAGGATACCTATATTATTTTAATGTTTCAGAACGTCAATGCATATGGTATACTATAGGCGTTGCATAACAACGTGATTTTGACCAACGTGACGTTGGCATTGGTCCACTAGATTGTTTGCCATAATAATTAACATAAAGACCTCAGCATACTTACTAGCGACCAAATCCTTTATCTCCTGAGCAGTGACGTCGGACCCTGGCTTACGGACCACCACCGCGACTGGAAGCTCACCGTCACGCTCGTTAGGCACGCCTGTCACACCGACGTCCAAAACACCGGAGTGGGTTCGTATCAGCTCCTCCAGTTCTAATGGGATCACCTGGCGAACATCATTGACGCGTTATTTCTATTCATTACGGATTTGACTGTACACGATTAATTACATTTTTTTAAAAGTAATTCGAGAAGAAAAGAAGCTGTCCACCTAATGGTAAGTGAGTCGTAACGTCAAAGGAACAGCACTACGGACATAATATCTACGTGCATGCTGACAAATCCTGACAGGAGTTTGAAGAATAAAAATTGTAAACATTGCGTTGTTATGTTATCTTGTAATTTCGCTGCCCAAACTCACTCTAGAATCAAAACACAGCATATAAAATAAGCCGATAAGCGACTGAAATAGGCGAGATTGAGGTGCAGAGTACCACCCATGCAGAGACAGATACAAAGTCTGCCAAAGTCAAACAATGTTAAAAAAGTTAAACAAGTCGTTGACTTGTCGAATTACACCTTGATCGTAATCTACCTTATAATTGATTGCGACTCTAAAACTCCTATTCTTTAACGTGGCTAGTGTAATATAAGAGGACAACTGTTGAATTATTTTTGAGAAGCCTGAGATACTTTACTTACTATTATCCCATGAAAAAATTTACCTCGCATTGGTACATTTCAATCTACATCCTTTTATTTTTTTTAAGGATTTTCAAATAAAAACGGTTAGTGGAAATGTGATATATTAAATGGAATATATTTTTAAATATATTTTGTGAATTTTTATTTCAATACCATTTATTAATGAAATCATGGCCGTTGTATAGATGATTAATTAATTACATGTATCAATAGGTGTCTACAAATATACACGAACACAAAGTGGCGGACGAAATCGATTGTTGCCCTAGTATATTTCATAAACAGTATTTTCAATTTCTACCTTCAACTTAGTGTAAGATGTTTGCTTACATGATAGCTTTTGTATTTTATGAGCATCTTGAGTCGCTCCACAAAGTAGTAGTTGCCGTCGAGATCTCTGTACAGAAGGTCCCCAGTTTTGTACCAGCCGTCCTCCGTGAATGCCTTGGCTGTTTCTTCTGGATTATTGTAATACTCCTAGTTACATACAGAAATTTATAAAGGTAAGTGTACAAGTTTTTATCGAGAAAGGACAGAAAAAGTAATTTTAACACACACAGACAGTCACACATACTCATGAATAGTGCGAGAATCAAACACGAGATCGCCGCAAGAAAAGCAGTTTGCTAAACTACTTAACCACCAAACCGTACCGTACTGTACCTAAAGATGTTGGGATTTTTGTTATTTCTAATATAAAACATACCGTGAAGCTCGGTCCTTTCCTCCACATTTCACCGGGAGTATTGGGATCAGTAATTTCCTTTCCAGTTTCAGGATCGACAAGCTGTAACATATAAATTTAGTTATTTAGTTGTACGTATTCCTGTATCTTAGAAATATATATATATATATATATATATACACGCCAAACTTCTATGTCAAGTATAAATTATTAATTTATTTTGAATTTATAGTCTCGATTGAATTTACAGTGAGAACTATGAGGAGGTGCCAAATGTAAAATAAATTTACTGCATTTCTATTTAATTAATTTTCTACTACATACGAGTGAGATTATGAGTCTATGATTCTTAATGCAATTAATAGAGTTCATAGATAACTATAGTTATATATATGAGATACTATAGAGATATGTATATATATATATATATATATATATTGCTCTCTTGTCTGTGGCAAAGCATAGATTTCTAGTCCAATAAGTGTTTACTTACTTTAACTTGAAATGTGGACGTCGCTTTTCCACAACTACCCAGTGGTGCATTAATAGTTGGTTGCAAGACCGGCCCTATCGATTCGGTCTGTCCATAAACTTCAACAACAACTGCATCTTTTCGCATTCGAGACTGAAATAATTAACATTTCTTACATCAAGAATAGAATGAAATAAAAAATCCTTTATTTGAATAAACTTAAATTAAGCACACTTGAATAGTCATATCATTCTTTTAATCTACCGCTCATTCGGAAAGTTGCCTCATCACAAGAAGAACGAGCAAGAAACTTACGTGTTGTTCTTTTAAATAATCATTGTAACTTGACATTTCTAATTCAAAACGTGCGAATACAAACCACCAACTAGCACTAATTTATTAGGGTCTGATATACACAATACGATTAAATCAGTCGTAGTCTCTATAAGCAGCATTCGTTGTCTCTACAAGCAGCATTAGTTCACGATTATGATGTATGAGCTAGCTATCACTACACCCAACCATATTTTAAGATCATTTCATCGATAAATACCGAAACTAATATTATAAAGAGTTTTGAATGTTGTTTCTTATTGACAAAGTAAAAAATACTCGGTCCTTAATATATGCAAACTCTACCATATATACTTACCTTCAATTCAGTTATTAGATCCTTACGAACCTTTCCACCTGTTATTAAAATACTGTCAAAGCAAGTTAAATCGCATTTCTTGTCGTTACTCAAAATGTATGTTAGAGTCGATGCGCTCGTAATTACGGTTACGGGCTGGAAATATAAACAAAATTGATCAAAACAGGTAGGTACAGTTTTTAAAGTATTGTTTTTACGATCTATGTATTTGTACCAAAGATTTACTCAAACTTCAAACAACATGAATAACAAATACCCAAATACTATTCTAACATAATGCTTTAATTCACTAATAATATGTAAAGTTATTTTATTTGTGATAAAAAGAAAAAGATATAATTATAAAAAAATCATTAGAGGAATTGGAGAAACTGTAACGCTTCTAATGCCTGCGGCGAGGTGCGGTGCTGTGAGACACACCTTAATGTTCTTAACACATTAAACATTGTAATATTTCATTCCTACCTTATGTTCGTTTATAATATCGATAAAGTTTTCTATCGATGGTGACGATGTCTGTAGCTTAATAGATTCTAACAATGGTGCATATATATTATCGGCGATACATGTTATCCATTGAATTGGTGATAATATCAACGTTTTCTTATTTCTCCTAAAAATATATATTTTTTGGAACTGTAATATTATTTAAGATAAAAGTTATAATACAATATACCTTTACGTTAAACTAATGATTTACTTGAAGATTTTTTGTTCTTAACAAATAAAGTACATAGTACATACCTATATTTCTTTAGTCTCATTACATTAATTTACTCCGTACCCTCTAATGCCACTGCCATACCTCTAACTTGAAGTCAGTATGCAAAGGACCAGAATAAAGCTGGTAATAGCAGAATTAAAAGTAATTCATCATAATCACAAGGCCGTGCATGATGACGACCTCGGTGGTCTAGCAGTTTAACTCGCCGCGTTTCGTTTGATAGTCGCGGGTTCGATTCCTCGCAAGATGAAAAGATGCTTCAAGATAAGGGAAGTTTGTTTTATGGATACTAAGCAATTCATAGAAAACTCTTATAGAAATTTTACTTTATAAATATGTGCATAATATACATAGAAAACACCCAGATTAATGCAAACAAATTATTGTTACTATATACTCACTATATGTACGTATAGCTATGAATACATACGTTTTCATCTTGCGTGAATTATCAGGACAATTACAAGACAGAGACATTATTTGCTAAACTAACCTCCTTTCTATAGATAGTTTAGTGAAAGTTTCGCGAACGGAATCCAATATCGATTTGTGGGTGATTGCTGCTACCTTGAAAGAGCCTGAAGTACCACTTGTACATAACAACCACGCGAAATTCTTCTCAGCGTCAAATGTTGCTGGCCTGAAAATAGAAAGATTAAAATTTTAGTATAGTTTTTTATACGTTACAGTCTGTAACAGACTTTAAAAAAGTCGGCTAAGAATTTATTCAGCAAGAATAAATAATTACAAAAATCAAATCAGAACTTTCCTTTTTGTAATGGTAGCATAACACACAGGGAAGTTCGTAGAAACAATCGAATCTATTTACTAATATCTCTTGGTACCGTAGTTTGGTGGTAATATAATCAATCAAAGTAGTGCATGTATATACTTAGATAGAATGTACCTAGTATTTGTGAAAGACATTCAATCAATTATTGAGAGCGTCATGGTTTATTACCCGGAATTACACACAAATGGTCATGATGTCACATCCGGCAGATTAAAAAAAAATTTTTGTATATAATTTATATCACAGACAAACTTTCCGATGATGGAAACACATCGGTGTTTTTTAATAATTAAAGCAAATATACCTAATCCAAGAGATGGATGAATTATGAAGACATGTTTTTGTTTGTTCAATCGATTATTTTACAGTCACACGCACGAAGTCGCGGATAAATAGGTACAAGTGTAAGGGCATAATCACAGTTGATTTAGTTCTCCAGTCGATTCATACCATACAACATGCTAGAAGTAAAAGAGTAATAAAATGCATGTCATCACTATGCTACTTAATATTTCGAGTACCTATTTCATATAATCACACAAAGAATAGTGACAGTAACTATTAATACAATACAATCTGATAATTTACACCTAGTATGGACTTTGGCCTGATAGTATGACATTATATAAACGAGATATTTACCGTGATAATATAATTTAAGATTTAAAACAGTGGCCCCATACTTGTCATTTAATTATGACGTACTTGCTACTTACAAGTCATCTCAGATATCATATTATTATGTAAATTTTCCAGCATATAAAATAACGAGGCTCTTTAATTAATAGACGAGTTCGGTTTAGCAAATAAATTCCAATGTCATTCTCTAAGAGACACATTTAATTTTCAATCTTACTACTACTCTTTTAATTTAAGTATAATAATTTTTCATTTATGAACCGAGTTTAAACAATTAAATCGTTAAATCGATGCTAATTTTATAATAAACTGGCTGTTACCCGTGCAACTCCGTCTGCAGCACTTATTACTCAATAAATGTGTGAAATATAATAACAACTCTATTAAAAAAATTTTATAGTTAAAATGTGCCATGTTGTGATAGATTGCATTTTCTTATCAAGTATCAATCAGACCCGTTCCATTTACAGACAGACACCCAGTTTATAATAGACTAAATTACAAACAACTTCTAAAACGATTGAGTTGTCATTTAGCCTGTACTCAATTTCTACAACAATATACTCACTTAAACTCCTCATCATTATCTTCTTTAGAGTTATAATTGTCTATGAAATTGGCCATAGAGTGATCACCGTCATCAAATGTAACCACTCTCGTGTCGAGGTTTAGTTTTCGAATCGCATTAATGTAGTCAACGTAGGACACAGTCGTGCAGAATGATATTTTCGGTTTCGTTACACTTAATACTTTTTCTATTTCATCTGAAAAAGTTATTACATAACTCTAACTTAAGGGTTTCTACATAAACGTCGATGGAGTGGTACCGCATAAAGTTATTATTAGAAATTAACCACGACGGATGGAAAAGGAGAGGACGACCACAAAAATATGGATGGATTGATTGTGAAAGATGATATGTATAAAAAGAGAGTAAGCTCACATTCATATCTGAGCTTACTCTCTTTTTATAGGGCCGATAGGGATCAGAGGAATACGATGACATACTTGTACTGTACCGAGTCCAAATAATGGGATAAAGGCAAGGCAATGAAGATGGATTCCAGGGAGGACCGCGTCGAGGTCAACCTCCACCACCTTTTACCACCGCACCGCTCGCCATCGACAGGGAATTCATCCCCACACACAGGAACCTAAGTGGTCCCGAACAGTGCGGTTTCAGAGGAGTTTCCTCCCGCGTACTTAGATTGTGGAATGAACTTCCTGCCGAGGTTTTCTCACGAAACTACAGCATGGGGTTTTTAAGGTTTCTTAAGGGTCGGCAACGCGCAAATGATACCCCCGGTGTTTCAGGCGTTCATAGGCTACGGTAACCATTTACCATCAGATGGGCCGTATGCTTGATTGCTACCATAGTAGTATTAAAAAAAAAACCTGATATGACATTGACCCTAGTAATGAGGACACTAATTCCCATTACTAACAATCCCTTCTTTCCCTACTGTTAACATATTCTCTGTTTCAGTTTTGATCTAGAGAGAGTACAACATAGAGATTTTTAAAGAAATGGATATTGAAAGTCAGCAAATCGTGCCTAACACCCTTGGTGTTTCAGGTGTCAGCTACGGTAACTTCACTATCAGATGGACCGTATGTTTGTTTACTATTCTTGTATGCCTATGTATTATTGATTATGTATTCTACTGCTGAAATCTGACAATAATTTAACTTTAAAGTTTGATGAGTGAATTTGCAGATAAGTATTTTGGTTTATAGACTGGTTACAAAACAAGGTCTCCTTTTTAAATATTAGTTATTTGCTTGAAATGAAGACGCTTGATGAAGATTTCATTCACACTTACCGTATTTAAAAGTAGGATCTACGCCAATCAGAGGCATTCCGTTCAATATTGCTGCGAAATACGGAATATGGAGGTCAATGTTATTTGGTCCACTCAATGAAATCACGTCACCTACTTGAAATCCCAGTCTTCTGAAACATCTTGCGAGAGTTATTGAACGAGATAAAACAGATGCATTTGTTTCTGTCTCGCCCGTTGCTGCATCTATCTGCAGATGATAACATGACGTTGATTATTCAACAACATTTCGTTAACATATAATTAGACTAAACTAAATAAATCGATAACAACGTCAGTTAGTTCCATCCCTGAGTACGAAATATGGAATTAATACTTAGCGAGGTAATTCAAATAGAGTACTACAATTCAATGTTCTTGAATCGAAATTCAATTTTGTGTGTAGTAGACCGTCGGCTGGTATCTAAGTGGCAACCGGTCACTTTTCTGTGAGACCTTTTTCACTTTCCTTCGTGTAAAGACGTAGAGAAAGTAGTAATTCCTAGTATATTTATTTTTACTCACGGACTATAAATATGTGTTACGCTATGGGTCAATGACACATTATATATAAAGTTTATGGATGGGACCGTCTGGAGTGTCCCATCTTGTCTATCTAACTATATATCTGTAATTTCGCAATTCAAATAATAAATTAGGTATCTATATTAATATAATATACTTTATATAATATTTACATAAACTATAGCCTATGTCCGCCTTCATAACACAAGGTGTGTTGTCTTCACGTCATTATTCATTATTCATTAGTCAAAAAAGTAACAAACAGGCGGACAGAAAGAAATCGTACCTATGTATGGATTATGTTTTATATAGTAAGTAGCTCATTCAAAATCTTGTTTCACTAACGAAATTAACTTCAGTCTTTATAAAATAGGTATGAGATTAAAACATAAAAATAAATGTTGTGAAATTGCGAGCCACGATATTTTAGAGAAAAATAGAACGGATTTCGGAAACATGTCTCACTAAATATACCGCATAGGTGGTAATCGCTGTTTCTATAAAAACAATACGTACCATAATCGCTGTAAGTATAAGAACAATATATTAAAAATTTCTGATTCTTTTTTCTTGTCTTACCAAGCACACAGCATCTGGTCGTTTCTTCATAGCATACAAAAACAGATCGCCGAGGCGACAGTTTTTTTCTGATATTTTGTCCCAGATTTCACTGCACATTTTGTAGAACTTATTTCAACGAAAATCACAGTATTAACACCACAAACAATATTCAACACCTTAAATATACTGTTTAAAATATTTATCTCACGTGAATGAATCACGTAATTTGCGTAAACGTTAACGATAAATTAATTATCTAACAAGTAGCGTGAACGTCGTCTAGTAGAACTCTATTGCATATGAACAGCGGACGTTTATAACCGGTAGTAGGCACTTGTTCTGTATTAGTAAACAGAAGTACTGCCGGGTACCACAAATAGGATAATTGTTTGTGATACAAATTACTATAACGTACGGCTGAATTTTCAGTATTCGTTTCAGTACTTACTCAATCAATAATAATCAACACTGTGATACTTAAAATTATTATTTATATTATATTATTTAATGAGAATATTTTTTTTATTAACATGACTTGAAGAGAAAATAATCACTCTACAGTACATTTTCCTGTACAATATTTTTGCTACGTCATAGTTACGAATCAAAGAACCGACGATATTTTTTATTTATGCGATTGTTCAACTTCCTGAACTCAGGGTTCGTTAGTTTTTAAGTATTTATAATAATATCCCTGTACAACTAACACAGCTCCATCTAGTACCAAGTTAAGCAGAGCTCGTGTTATTAACATTAGACAACTGATATACATTTTTTTTTAAATACATACATAATATGCATAGAATGCATAAAATTAAAATATACTTATCTGCAAATTGAAACATCATACTTTAAACTTAAATTGTTATCAGATTAAGGCAGTGGTATAAAAAATAAATAATACATAAACAAGGCTAACGAACAAGCATAGAAGGAAAGGGGTTTGTTAGTAATATGGACTGGTGTTCTTATTGCTAGCAAAGTACCATGGCAGATTGATCCCCACGCGGTTCCCCCTGGAAACCATCGTGACAAATTCATGATGAATTTGTCGCAATGGGTTAATTGACCTGACCTCATGCTCATTTTATCATCCTCCACTTGTGCCCCGCCAGCGTAAACCGTTAGCGAAGGCGGGTGCACCATTTAATTATCATATAAATAAAAAAATATGCATAGAGAACACCCAGACCGTTTCGTTCGTTTGTTTCTTTTTCAACAAAATTTTTAATTATAAAACAAAAGTTTCAGTATTGGCAACGAGTTACGCTCAACTTAGATACATTTCTTATTTATTTATTTTCAAATGAAATACAATCAATTTATTAAATACATATTTATTTAAATTTAGTACATTTAACATATTTTATTTGTGACAACGACTTTAACAGACTTAACAATAATTTCTATAATATACATTAATTAAATACTTTCTTTATTGAGTATTATGTAATACATACAATCACCATTACAATAACACTTATGGAAGGATTCATACTTTTCTTAAATATTTTAAATACATATAATAAAAATCAAATTATTTTTTTTAAACATTAATCTAGCAAATCATTATCAATATTTTTGGTAAATATTATGTTTATACACTACTTCAATGGCACATTGAAGATAAAATAAAAAGAACAAATGGATGTGTGATGTAAGCGAAATTATTATACATTTCATTCGATTATTTAACATTATATATATGGAATAAAAAAATAAGTCTGAAAACTATTAGAAATTAGAACAATGAAAATCATGAAGAAGTATTAAATATAATATAATAATAATAACTTCCCATAACCACAACTTTATAATAATAGGTTACGGCATAGGTATATATATATATTTTTACTAACAATAGGGAAGTATGACTGACTGAGATAGCGGAGACGAATCAACTTACGATGGAAGCTAAAATTTTTTTGGATAATAATATTTAAAAAACTACGGTTTTACAAGACGGCTTAAAATTTCACGATATCGTGTTGTAAAATGTTAAATTGTAAAAGCTACCATAAGATGAGGCAGGTATAGTTATTTTTCCGTTGTAATGGTTTCGACTACACCAAATCAAAATCTTGTTGGACAACCAGTATCTCTTTTTGTAAGTTCCCAGAGCCAATCTTGCAGTTTGGTGCTACGTGTAAACCTTGCATTCTGTGGACAAAATAGATATCAATATTATTACTAAGTAACGTGTTTTATATAGCAAATTAGGCTAAGTTTATGTTAAACATATAATAACATAGTATATATATAAAATTCTCGTTTCAGTTTTCGTTCCCATACTTCTCCGAAACGGCTTGACCGATTCTCATGAAATTTTGTGAACGTATTGAGTAGGTCTGAGAATCGGCCAACATCTATTTTTCATCCCCCTAAATGTTAGGGGTAGTCCAACCCTAAATTTTTTTTTTTATTTTGTGGCAAAACGTTTGCCGGGACAGCTAGTAGTATATAATATTTTACATGAATTAAAACATCATTTTATCCTAGTCCTCGATCCTCGATGCTTTATAAAATTATTGGTACAAGTTAGAATTCTTATCTTTGTATAATGTATGTGTCTATGAATGTATACATTTATATGGTAATATTAATTTATAATTCGATTAAATTTTAATGTTTACGAATACGACAGCCCTCGAATAAAAAATACAGGGACATTTCTATTTTTTACGAAAATCGCTTCAAAATGTGATTTTATTTTACATTTAAATTTCGTACCGGCAATTATGTTTACTCTAATATTATTTGTTTGATGAATAAAAGATATTTAAATCTCTCAAAGATAATTTTATTTAATGGGAAAGGTAAATGGTTTACTTGTCACTTATATACATGAAGAGCATTATGGATTTGTTTATCACTTTATCCGGGAAAACTGCCTCATGCCTCCGCACCCTGTAATTCCACCACATCATCATTTAACCGGATCAAATTTACAAAGTACGCTGATTAGGACGCACACGACTTTTTAACATCTATTTCGGAATTGACAAAATTATGATAAACTATGAACTAGCCATGCGAGGAAGAAAAGTATGTCCTTTTTTGCGTCTTATTTATTTAGTCTATTTATTGATTATATATTATTATTTAGTCAATATAATAAACCAAATAAATAAAACGCAAAAAAGGGCATGGACCTTTAGTCGATGGCTAATAAAGGAATCACTTAATAAACAAAAATTCATATCGTAAAATTATTATTATAGCACTCAGAATTAAACAGTATACCCATAAATTAGCATTATACTCACATATTCTCAGTGACAACAGTATTTCTATCCACTTCACAGCGTATGCAGTTCTCGGTGCAATTATTTATTTTTGTGTTGTTTATGTCAACTGTAGAACCCGAGTACATCTGTATACCGACGTCACATTTCTTTATTAAGCACTTGCGCAGTTCCACCTGAAAATGTATATTAGAATAGAATAGAAAATTCTTTATTCAAATCACTTTTCAATAGTCATACATATTTTTTAATCTACTACTAATTCGGAAATCTGTGTCATTACAAGAAGAATGATCAAGATACTCATGCGTTGCTCTTTTAAATAAATATTGGAACTTTACGTTTTTAAGTTAAAATGTGTGAATATAAAGTACTAAATAGCATTAATTCATTAACAGAGTTAAAATATTAAATAACTAGTTAAGAATAAATCAGTCATAGTGATTAGAGCAGACTAGTCCTTGCAAGCAGAACACGTTCACGTACGTTATTATTAAAATCATTGGAAGTACAATTAAATGTACCTATTAAGGACACAGATATTTATTTACTTACTTTAATGCGGAAATACATAAATATAGATGCATATGGCTTACTTAACACCTCGAGGCATTGTTTCCGAGTGAACCATAGGGAAAAGAGAGATTTACGTGGGCAAGGCATTTTTTTCGAAAATACACACATAATAAACAAAGAAAAGGAAGGGCAGCAGGGCAGTGTGCTAGACCGCTAGACCACCGAGGCTATGAAGACATATAAGCTAATACTTACATTAGCACCCTTGTGTACAACAATTGCTGAATAGAAGTTATCAAATGTACAGTTTTCCAATAGTATCTTAGCACCAGACATGGCCACAATGCCTTGGGCGAAATCCCTCTGTAAAAAACAAAGTAGAAAACCTTAAATCTTCTTTGTACGTTACAATTAGCGTTACATTATTAGCAATCAGTGAGGAATATTTTACAAGCTTTTATATTTCGCTGACGGCAAGGTAGTACTGTCTGCGTTAACGGTTTATGCCGGCATAGAAACAGTGGAAGACAAAGTCAGATCAGGTCAGCCTATTGTCAGCTGAAATTAATCATGATGATTTCCAGAAGGAGCCGAGTAGATGGCGACCCGACATGGTACGTCACTAATAAAAAGCAAAGCACTTGCTAGATGCAAATCTGGCAGTAAAATTACAGGATAAGAGACATGATATCTTAGTCCTCTTGAATGGCAACGCAAGAGTATTATCACAGGTGTCGCTTCTACTCTATCACATTTCAAAGTATAAAAAAAACTTTCTACATTGGGTGGCCCCATGCAGTCATGGGGTCACTACACATAAACAAGCATATATCTCTGGTATCAAGCAAAAAAATTCCTTTTGGCTTAAAATAAACACGGTAATAAGAATTAGGAGGGAATAATTTCTTAAATAATATTACTCGTCTTCATATTGCCGTAATTACTTATTAATGTTTAAAGCTAAATGCTTTAAGGTTTAATTGTGGCCCAGTAGAGTCAAAGCATGTTAGTGGCTCATGGTCAATCCTTATCAGAAAGAATACTGAAGAGCTATGTTCAGCGGTTCACTGTAATTTGTTAAAATGATAGTAAGAATGGTAGAAAAATAATTTACCTGCGAATTTTCCGAGTCATCAAGTAATGTGCAGTCACTAATATGTAGTGTACCTGACCGCATCACAATGATTGTGTTCACTAAAGCACAGTGGAGTGTCAAACCTTGTAACCGACACTCTTCACTTAACATGAACAAACATGACCTCATATCGTCTGATTTCAGTGTTGAACCTTGAATTGTATTGTAAAATAATTAATTTATAGATTCAACGCATCTAAAATCTATAATACAAAGTTGTTTAAGGTTGTAAAAATTTATCGTTAATGAATCGTGAATATTTCTAGTACATACCCACTCTATGAAAGGATAAGCTAACTAAGGTAATATAAGCTAAATTTGGGGTTTGGATGTTCGAGCGTGCATTATCACCCAATAATTTAATTAGAGTATCATTTTAGTTAAAAAAAAACCTTTATTCAATTTTATTTTTTTCTTTCAATCATTATTATAAAAAAATATAAATTATAAATGTTACCTTTTTATCAGTACGCAGCTTCAGTTGAGAAATACTGGTTAAAAATTTAACTAACTCATTTCAGAATGTGTATATCTACTTTGCTTTATACCGTGCTTCAGTTGTAGGGAGAAAAAAAAGGCAGTGAAATTACAGGATAAGAGTTATTATAGTCCTCCAGAATGGAAACACGTGAGCGTTATTATGGGCGTCACATGATATGCAGTACTCTTCATATATATAGGCGACAGTTACCATTTACCAGCAGGTTGGCGTCAGCTCATTTGCTATTAAAATGACATAAAAAAACTTACCATTCACACTACACATGGATATTTGTGATAGGGGCATCTCAGGCACTTCATACACCTTGCTGCACACGACCAACTCTTCAGGCTCCAAAGACAGTCCCTCCTCAGCTGATACCGTCATTGTCAGGGTATGCTCATTTGTTAGCCGTGAACGCAAGAATTTGGATATATCATGAAATTCAAATGGTGATCCACCCTTCCAAAGTGCAACCACCTAAAATAAATGAAACATTTATTTAACATACATTTATGTTACAGGCATTGTCAACTGTCGATATTTTGTTGAACGCAACATTTGTGATGCCCACATTTAGCTTCATGATTTGACTCCAATGTGGCAGGGGTTAAACCTTCCGGCGTTTGCGAAAGCGCGTGCCGTGTCCCCACTTGAATATAAGTAAAAGTATGATATAAGTAAGAGTTATAAAGAAGTACTAACATTTTTTTTATTCTTGTTTTTCTGCCATTTACTTCTTGCTTTAGGTAAATATTCATTCCTGATAAGGGGATTCTCATAAAGCGTCCATTTCGATATCAGTCCATCCAGACGCGCACTCATTTCCGCACACTGAGTTAAATAGCCTGGAGGTAGGAGTGAATCTAAAATAGAACCCAACATGTAAGTATGTAAATAAGTAGATAAGGTAAATGAAAAGATAAATTTGATTGTCTCTGTGGTATATTGGTTTAGCATTCGGTCTTACTGCCGATAGTTGCGGGCTCCATTCTTAGCATAATACAAACATTTGTATTCTTGAGTATGAATATTTGTATAGGGCTGGGCGTTTTCTATGTATATTATTAGGTGTTTACAAAAAAAAATGGATCTATATCAGTAGTCTTGTACCTATAAACAAAGCTCTGCTTAGCTTGGAACTGGGTAGCGCCGGTAATGAAGTGTCCTGAGATACTATCATCATTATTAATAATAATAAATAATTGTACTGTTATTATCTAAGATATAACATGTTTTTTTCTAAGCTTCACTTACCATCTTCATCAGGTATTTCAAGTTCACAAATTGAGGAGTCTAGCTCCTTCAACTTCTCATGTGCAGTTATAGCACTGTTTCTTAGCAGTATTATAGAACGAGCCACACAATTTGGAATGGTGCCATCATGTATTTCAGTCCAGAGCTGCATTCTATCTTGAATTGTATTTGGAAGTAAAACTTTATCATTTTCATCATCATCCCATGGCATCCATATATCATTGTAGAAGAAACTAGAAGCATTATAAGATATCCGACATAAATAATATAAAAAAAAATGTATTTTAGATAAATTATCAATACAATAATCTAGCATAGGATAATTATGCACTATAATTATCCTATTGAGTGTTAAATGTGAGTGTTGTAAAATGATTTATTAAACTTTAAAATGATTTCTATATTTTTTCAATTTATGATAATGGAATGGTTTATCCATCTGTACTAATGGTTTACAATCGTAGGGCACCAGTGGAGGATGATAAGATGGGCATAAAGTCAGATTGGTTAGCCCATTGTGACTAATTCACTAGGAACTTATCACAGCGGTTTCCAGAACCATGTGGAGGTCAAGTTGACATGGTTAAAATTAGTATGGACTTACCGTAACAGATCTATAAATTCTGCTGTTGTGTCCACATTGATACATTGTTCTCTCTGCACAATGGTGGGCCAGAGTTCAATCAGTGGAACATCTTCAACTGTCTCCGGCAATGAAACCGTTTCATGCTGCACACTTTGGACATCCACACAGGTTGACAGACTTTCAAAGTCTACCGATCTTACTGTTACAATTGCTATGCAGGGGAATCTCACTTCTGGAAATATTAGAAGTGTAAAATTTAGTCACATCATAATTTTATCTTTAGGAATGAAATACAAAAAACTTATTAAAACATTAAAGCAAAAGCCTGGTGTTAATTTTATGTTTATTGTTTTATTTTAATAGAATGTCATAAAACTGACAAGCCCCCTGACGGCAGGTGATAACCGTCACCTATATACATGAACACCACTTATAGCACTCAAGCATTGCCACTGACAATTACTTTCATTTAATTGATTGAAGCTAGCCATCAACTTTAAATTTATTTTAAGTGTAAATTAATAGTGAGAACTACTTGTATTCTTTTTATTTTACCTACTTTGTAGGCTGTAGTATATAAATAACATACCAAACTTTTTACAGAAGTATTTCGACAGTTTCCACAGCGCGTCCCATCCAATAGGTTCTACCAACAATTCTGCTTGAATGCTCCATTGTTCCCGCGCTGTACCACGGCTAGAGCTGAACACTCTCATCAATTCCTGAAGTATTTCATTATCGCTACGAGAAAATGTATATACTGCTGGCATCTGAAAACAGCAACACGACTACGATAATAAATTTGTCGACTACGAACGTGTAGGTAGGCTAGGAAGGCATGCATCTGGCATTACTAGAATGATCACCCTACAGAATTCAGTAGGCAGTGTCCTTAACACGTATCCTAGACTACACTAATATATTTTAAATACATATTATTACTTAACAATAGCTAAGCATTTATTATATTGTAATAATCATGTAGTTTTCTTCGAGGAGCATTGAATCTGGTTAACTAGGTTAACTATTTAACAATATTTTACCTTTATTGCTCCTGTCTTATTGTCCACAAATTTATAACTTGATATTATGGTAGTTACTTTACTATGAATTGTTTAGTTTTTAGAAATGTTTAATTATTTACTGTTTACATCCAATAACATAAAAATAAAAACCGTTCGAGTATAAAACAATTTCAAAACTTTTACAATTCTTTGACAGTTTATATCAAGTTTGACATTTTTATGTCAAACTTGACATAAAGTGTCATTGTTATGTCTCTAGAAAAATATATTTTCCTAATTAAAAAAAAACTATTATTAGTATTGTGCGTTTATGTTTTAAATTTATTATTTAACCATACGTACTAAAGTATATCGTTTTGACAATACCTTTGTTTCAATTATGTCGTCTAATAGAAACGATGCTTCTCTTGGTATGGTGGGTGAAGATCGGAATAAGCCCTGACATTTAAAAATTTACGCCCTATTTTATCAACGACGCTATTTTAACTATTATGATGAAAAATATAGATTTTCATGTGTTTTCAATTTGTCTATGTTTGTTTTTTATCAATGTTTACGACATCAATAATTATACATTGCAAAATGTCTTCAGTAGGTAGATTGGTACTCTTGAAGGTGTTGTCACAAATTATCTATATTGCCAAGAAATTATAAATATTTATTGCTTTCACTCGATTATTCCTAAAATAATATAATTATTACAGGAATACTCGACTATAATTCAATTATATTAAATTGTAACTATTGTATGAACTAACTATCACTTTGTAAGCCTGTCTTGCAAGGTGGTAGTTTATGAATTACTAGATGCCGCTATCGCTAAAGAAAGGCTCTCAATAAGAGTTTAATATTCTTTTATATGTCAGATTATTATTTTGAAATTTTCAAACCCAAAGTAAAAAATTACAATGCGACTTTATTTGAAACTACTAAATTTGTTTCATTTGAAAGGTTCCACAGCCGATTTTCTCGTTACTTCTTCTTAGATAAGTTTGACTAACGATCTATAGTGAGGAATCATTAAAAAAGAACAAGAACAACGACCGCAGTGGTGCAGCAGTTCGTAATATTTATATTTATGAGTATGATTATATATATATATTATGTTGCAACAAAGAATCATGCAAATAAAATCACATATCATCTTGTTCAAAGTACATACTTATAGTTCGTCGAATTGGCCGTGAGTTACGTATAACATGAACCGTGGTCTGTTATACATACGTATTGCTGGCCATTCGCCTTACGGAGCATGTACGTAGTGAAGTGACAATATTACGAAATAATACAAATTAGTGAATTAAAAAAGTGTACATGAAAAATACCTTTTAAAAATAGAAGGTGAGTTTTTTTTACAGAGAGTAAATATAATACAGTAGATTCCATTATTGTTATACGAACTTTGTACTGTTATTATATTTGCTTATATATTTCGAGGTACTCTTTCAACGTTGTTTTTTTTTTTCAACAGATATACACACATACACATTTTATAAGACAATATAAATTACAAAAAAAAGAGAGTATATTAAAAAAAAGAGGAAAATATAAGACCTCGAGAGAGAATGTTTCTTTTTTTTCGGACTGCTCTAATGTTTTTGGCCGTAGATGGCCTTAACAGTTTCATCGGACGATAGGGGGCGAGTGCCGTGGATGCTTGTGGAGCGGCTGAAGGCCAACTCCCGCCTGGCGGATACGACTTTAGTCTGAAGGCACCGCTAGGGGTTCGAACCTCGACTCAGACCATCGTAATTTTGATCCCCATTTGAGTTGGATGGGGGATCGATCGCAGGGGAAGGCAATACTTGTGTGGTACCACAAGGGTTAAAAGATTACGTGATGTTCGTGGTGTTGTTCCTATACCTATATAGGCCATGGTTGATATCTAAATATATGAGATGAAGATTTGATTATATATCTTCATATTCTTGTTATTAAATCAACACAACAAGCACGCTCAGATACTGTTATTTTATACACTGGCAACTGGTCCCGGCATTTAACGGTTGCTATTATTGTGGGTAATCTCGAAGATTGATGATGTAGAAAAATCACAGACATATTTCAAGTTTTCGCTTTACTTCGCTTACCTTTAAATATAACATGAAATCATTCCTTCTTCATAATAATTAATACTTTTAATGATGTGTTTTTTTCTACAGAAGAATGTATGAACTCAGTATCACGATTATTGCAGTAATTGGTACAATTCTGCTATTATACTGGCAGTTCTGGAGATGGAGACACAGAAGAATGTTGGAGCTCGCCAAATTGGTACCGGGACCACCGGCTCTACCAATAGTAGGAAATGCTTTGATATTCATGACACAACCTGAAAGTAAGTTTTTTTATCACGATTACACACCTTCCAATAACCAGTCTTCCAGGTATTCTTCATTTTACTGTGCCCCAAATTGTTAGTTCTCCCACGATTATTGTATAAATTCATTTTTTGCTGAAGTACTTTTTTTTACACAGATAGATTTTGTAAAAAATCATCTGCGTCACCATTGTCTCTCCTATTTCAGCTACCAACCAGCTTGCTTTATAAAATGCTTGCTTATCTGTAATATTTATATGTACCTATGTCTGCCGTGAAGCAACAATGTATGCATCTGTAATATTATCATCTTAATGAGAGTCTTAACAAGCAATTTATAAGAAATTGCACGGTTCTCTCATTAACTATATTCTTCTAGATAATGGTGGTTTTACCCAAGCCTAATAAGGCCAGAGGTAGACTGCAAAAGACTTTTTAGATATATAGATAGAATATGTTATTATTTGGATTATATAAAATAGAGAAGAATATATATTACTGTAACATTTATTCATTACAACATTATTTCAAGTAATCTGCCTGGATGTCTCTACCTATTTCGACCGCCAAGCAGCTTGCTTTGTAAGCTATATTTAGGTTCTAGAGACAGATTAGGACAGAGAAAGTACAGGTTTACAGGATAAGAGGCATGACATTTTCGTTCTCTGAAATACTAACGCCTGAATAGTAGAAATAGTATCACATGATAATCTTATTTTCGTAGTGTATATAGGCGACGGTTACCGCTTAATCAGGCAGACGGTCAACTTGTTTGCTATTCCAATTAGATAAAAAAGGACTCTTCATATTTCATCCCAGTTATTGAGGATCACTTATCAGCCCCAACTCTCAATTTACTACATATATAGGAGCTGAATCCAATTACTGAATGATACTAAATATCTAGGATATTTATGCATGTAGGTATAAGGACAATCCGATCCAGTTGCCTGTCGCCTTCTATAATTTGCAGTGATTGGAAGCAATTGAAGGTCTCAATCTCACAACTCATTATTAAGTTATTTACATATTTTCCGATGGTGTTGCATATGGTGCAACCTAGAGATAATTTCCGCTCAAATTAGCGTAAACTTCGGAGTGACTTAGTGAGTAAGCGTCGATCTTTAGTGACTGCTAAAATGTTCCAGGGTTTTATGTTACTTAGTTAATTCTCGCTGAACCGATTGCGGTGAAGTTTTCGGATAGAAGAAACCTAGAAACGGTTATAGCTACAGTTATAACTTAAAATTTATGTGCAATTTATATCCTAGTCCTATCATTTTGTTCATAATATTTATCTGATTATGAAAATTCATTTAAAGTTGGATAGCCCATTTATCGTGGAATGCTGTAAACTATATAATATTACGCTATGATTAATAAGAGCGGAGCTACAATACAAAATGTTGAAATAACAGGGAAAATTTAACGCAGTTGTCGTGCATGCAGAGTCGTTCGGGTCAGTTGATGTTAATGGGATAAAGATACCATCTGATGTATTTCTATAATTTATCCTCCTGGATACAGCTACTCCATACGTATATTATAATCGCAATTATTATTAATGTGAAGATAGATATTATCACGAAGATTTGATGTGGTCCTTTTATCAAAAAAAAAACGTATTAAGTCGCAGGTAAAGTCTAGTAGATTATATACAGCTAATTACGACCAATCTTCGGTACTTAAGTAGGTCCTACCTAACTATGATAATTTATTACGTGACAAAAATACTCACATTGTAGGTGTTAATATTTTCCTCCATGCAATTCACGAAATATAAACAAAAGAGATAAACGTGACTTGCACCTAAACGACTACATTACAGTTTTATGTTTCTTTTTTAGAGCAACTTGTTAAAATCGCAGCCATGCTGGATAAATATGGCCAATACGTCAAGTTCTGGTTGGGACCGGACCTTAATATTTGCGTAAAAAATCCCGCCGATGTCAGGGTAAGTTTTTCGTAAGTGATTAGTGGAACACTAATTAAAACCATTCATTATTTTATTGTTGATACTTAACTTTTTTTATCAATAAATTAATTTTATTATTTTAATATTAACTAATTTAATTAAAACCATAGTATAAATCTAAGCCGCTATTTTCATATCTCAGAATCTCTCCTTTTTTTTAAAGCATCGAAGTAGACTTTGTAAGAAAGTTGTCTGCGTTGATATTCTTGTCTAGGCCAGGCAGCTTCCTTTATAAGCTGTGTTTCGTTTGAAAGGTAGTATAAGGAAAAGAAGTTTCATTCTATAACGTTACTTAAGCAACATCAGCATACGTAGCATGTGATCTTAGCGCTACGATATAGCAACTTATGAGCTAATGTTAAAAGTTGAGAGCAACTTGTTTGTTATTCCAATTATATGAATAATAATAACCACTGAAAGGATTTTGAAGAGCTTGTTTTAGAATTTAAAAGATTTAGTTTGTCAGATTACTTCAGTCACTATACACTAAAGCGAGCGATGGCGTCGATAGTATTATTATAAAAATAACTACTACTAACAGCTGTTACTATTCAATTTAAGCCAGCAGATGTGTAAATTATGTATACACCTTAAAATGTCATGCTTCTTATCCTGTAATTTCACAATTTTAAATCACTGTTTACAATGCAAGCTGCTTGTCAGATGACGTAGACGAGATTGAGGTACCCACTCAAACGACTTTTTACAAAGTCGAGCTGCGGTTACAAACCAAATAATTATTATATACTTAATACAACTATTTGTACGTTTATATTATGAATTTCAGCTATTGCTAACGAGCAACAAAGTAAATCAAAAAGGTCCATTGTACGACTTTATGGTGCCATTCATTGGGCGAGGAATACTTACTGGGGGTACGAAATTTTATCTGAAATAATTAGTTAAGAAATACAGTTACAACATACATATACATATAAATACGCGTTGCCTTGATCCTTTTATTTGGGGTCAGCGCAGTTTATCATCTTCTATCGGCCGTCATATCTCCGCTCTCTCCCCTTTTCCCTTATCTTTCCCACAATCCATCCATCCAATCATCCAATCCATCTTTTTTTGAGTCGTATTCGTCCTATCAAAACATAAATGAAACTGTATGTAGACGAAGTCGCGATTAACGGTAACAAATTGAAAATATCCTACCACTTTTAAAGAGTCATTAAAAAGTATTTTTATAAAATCATTTTCAACATTTGCAGGTACAACATGGCGGAACCATAGAAAAATAGCGAATCCATCATACAACAAAAAATCAGTGCAGCATTATTCAGTAATTTTCAACAAGGAAGTTAAAGAATTAAGACAAGTTTTACTCTTAAAAGATCCTAATGTGATGTTTGATGTTTATGACGACGTAGTAAAATTTACCACACAATGTGTTTGTCGTATGTACCTAATACTTATTATACTGGCACAGTTCAATAGGTCAAACATTGTTATCTAAAATTCTTTTCATTAGACTTTTTTTATTTTAACAATATGTATATTTTCGTGGTCCTAAAACAAATTGGTAAAACGGAACTCTTAAGGTGCGGTGATACATTCATTCGTTCATACGTCTTTATCTTTTTTTGAGAAACTATTATCAGTATTGACTTTAATTCGGTATAGTTTTAAGTAGTAATTCTACTCTGGTTAGATACTCATCATAATCATCATCATCATGAGTATCTTATAAATAATCTAATAAAATATAAATTTCAATGTCATATTTCTTCTACAGAAACCCTTATGGGACTTTCAAAAGAAGAATCAGAAAATATGAAACACATGAAAGAAGTAGTCAAGGAGACACCTAAGTAAGTAAACTTAGTATAGTACGCTATTAGGTATTAAGTCCTTTACTTATTTTTTATTTTATTATTACTTACATTATTTTTTTTTATTTATTTTACTTTAATACTATACATTAAAGTAAAATAAATAAAAAACAAGAATGGGTAGTAGGTAAGTAATCATGTATTTGTGCCATATTTTATTGACAAATTAAATTCTTGAACACTGGGCCCAATTAGATTTCTATATACATAGGAATGGAGGCATAACAATTAATCGATATTAAATAAAATATATTCTATTTTATTCATGGGCTTCACGTCTATCTATAGTTTTATAGACGACATAAGGTAACCCTTGATTTGTTCTGCCTGAATTCAAATTTGTTTGAAATTCTGAACATATTTCAATGATTATTGTTGCCATTGGTCAAATTTTATAAAATTTTTGGTGTGTGAACAGTATCTACAACCATATCTTCACCAAAATGACTCATTGGTGGCTCTCCATTTCATTTGTCAACTGGCTCACTGGTGGATATGCTAGAGAGAAACGTTTCATCAACCTGATTGATGACTTGACTTCCGACATATTGGTAAAAAGAAGAAGAGCCTTGGGAGGCTGTGCTGCCGATGCAGAAGGAATGGGTATAGTTGACAAATATATTATAAGCAGTGAACTGACAGATTTAGAAATCAAGCAAGAAATATTCACATTATTTACTACAGTAAGTATTTTACAAAGTGAGAGCCTATTGGTTTACTACTTTAATAATATAATTATATAATTTTGGACTATTTTTTGGTTGTTTATGCTGTAAAGTACGACTTTATAGATCCATATTATTAAAATTATGTTTTTTTTTTAATTAATAATTTTAGAATATAATAACATAATTCCTAAGTAACTACAATAGTTATATTCATTTAATTTAGTACTGACTGACACAAAACTAAAATTTGCATATTTATTGTAATTGATAATCTTACAAATATTTCAGAGTCAAGAAGCTTCAGCGAAGATAATATCTGGAGTAATCATGTTATTAGCGCATCTACCAGATTGGCAGGTATTTTTCTATTAATATTCTTAATATGTGTAATATGTGCCTCCTACCATGAAGTGACACTTAAATATGAGAAATTTCTCATAGGGTATGCCAAATTTCAAATTTAAAATGCAGGAAGAGAGACCCTATCTGAACTTTATCCTATCTGAATATATATATATATATATATATTATAATATATATATATATATATATATATATAGAAGCTAGTACATATACAAAATGTATATTTCAGAATTTTGTATTTTCGTTATTCGCTTGTTATGTTATAGTTTAATGGAAACAGTTTATTAACTATATGACCTCCTATATTACAAAATTAAGTTTGCTTTAGTTATTGTATATTCTATGGTTGGATGTGTGTAAACAATCACTCAAACAGTGGTTGCATGTCCTTTCAATGCCTTTAATTCGAATGACCGTATTTTACAGAACAAAGTTTACAAAGAAATACTCGAGGTATTAGGTCCTAATGACGAATACGTCACAGAAAATGATTTGAAGAAACTGCATTATTTAGACATGGTGTATAAGGAAACGCTGCGGTATTTCTCCATTGCTGCAATGATACAGAGGACTGTTGAGGAAGAAATCACAATTAATGATGGTATTGCAGCTTGACCCACATTTCTATATGTTGTTTTATATTATTTCATTTTGAAAAATATGTTATATAATCGTCATTACCTCTTCCTTTCTATTCCACTTCATTTCTATAACTGTTTTTGCTTACAAAAAAAATACCTTTTTGCCTCTTAAAACTCTCTTTCCATATAAATGTGTATAAAACAGTCCCTTCGCTCATAGTAGCTTTTCTCAATCTCCTGTTACTCTTATGAGTTTCTCATTTCGACGGTATATTACGTATAATTAGTAAATCACGGGATCTTACCACGTTTTATTTTTATATAATTCATGGCGTGGTCATGGCGGTTGAAACACTGCCGAAATATCGGGAACTCAATAAAAATAAAACGTGGTAAGATCCCGTGATTTACTAATTATACTTATAAAAAATTCTTTGACAGAAACTTCAGTGGATATACAGTATAATTTATTGTTGATTTCATCACAGTTGCACGTAAGACATAACTGTTACTTGCAACAAGAACACTAATTTTAAATGTGATGGATTATACTTTATATTCCACAACTAATGTGCCTAATAAAAAGCCGTATACCTACAACGTTGATTACAATAAAATCATTTTTTTGTTTCAACAAACATCCTATTTTAATTGTTATTCCTCTATATTAAAATGGTTTTAATTAATTTATCAGGTAAAATCACATTACCAGCGGGAACTTCTCTGGTCATCCCTATTCACGAGATCCATAGAGACCCTCAGTACTGGGATGAACCGCTGAAGATCAAACCGGAACGATTTCTGCCGGAAAACATCGATAAACGGGATCCTAATGCTTTTATTCCATTCAGTTTGGGACCTATGGATTGTTTAGGTAACAAACAGATATATAATATAAAATATAATAGGTATAAGTGGTCAGTGGTTTTGCACTTAGTCTAACCTTTGGAATGGTTGCGGATTTTTTTTAAAGGTCTGATAATGGAATGGTGCACTCGCCTGTGGTAACGGTATACGATGGCAAGGCACCAGTGGAGGATGATAAGATGAGTACGATTTCAGGTCAATTAGTCCATCGTGGCAAATTCACCAGGAATTGAACATGATGGTTTCCAGGAGGAACCGCGTGGAGGTCAACCTGACATGGTACATTGTCAGCAATGGGATTGTAAATTTAGGAACGGTTTTTTCAAATTTAGGGGAGAAATTAAAAAATAATACATAAATACACTTTTTTTATGCAGCTACTTATTGAAGTAATACATATACTTGGATTGGATGTTTCTTTAATACTTAACAATCTATATAAAATCATAAAAACTGACAAATATTTTAATGTAAGTAAAGCCACAAATGCTTTTACCTGCGATAGAACCTGCGACCGTCGGTTAATAAATTGTTAAATACTATAGCAATAAATTCTTAATTTATAATTACAGGTCGCGTGTATGCAACATGTCTTATTAAAACATGTGTAATTCGGGTATTGAGACATGTTCAGTTTGAAGCTGAAGGAAGATTGGATAATCTTGATCTCCATGTGGCCATCTCCGTGAAGGCTGCTGAAGGATATAAAGTGAGAGCCAGACAGCGTCACAACGAAAGTATAGATTAAGTAATAAGTATTATTATTTTGAAGAAGTCTTAACTATTGGTTATGGTATTGCAACAGTATTATTAGTTTATGAATTTGGAACTCATATCTTCCTACAATAATCTTAGATCAGGATTTTTTTTGTTATAAAGATAGAGTTAGCTTCTCTTAATTCAAACTATTCTATTCTTGAAAATGCCTCACGTTAGCCCTAATTTATTTGGCTGAAGCTGTAAAGGCCAGCTGCGGCCAATATTTTGGTGTTACGCGGTATTACATATAATATGTAGTTAGTTTTCATATAACAGTTCGAAGTTTACAGATTAGGGACCCTCTATGGCATCGCATATCTATGAGCAATAATTTTATATATAAAACTGTTGTACAAGTTTAGGAATGACAAAAATAAATATTTTCCGCCTTTCATTTTTTTTTATTTATTATTATCCTTTTCTGACCACAGTAATACTATTTTTATGACTAAAAATTTGCAGTAGTAGGTACTATAAGTCGTAAAAAATAGAATAATCTAGACACGCGATAGCGTGTCAAAGTCAAGTTCATGGAAACTGGCGAGCATCATCGTATGTAATATTACACGAACCATTTGGAGCCACTTTTGACCACCTCATAACTCAAAAACTCTTTCACATAAACGTGTCAAATTTGGTTCATGTATTGTATTGTACTTACGAGATAAATGTGTGTACCAAATATTATAAACATAACTCAAATGGTTATTTAGATATTAACGTCCAAAAATCATTCTTTCAAATCATTTTTATCACTGACGCACCAAAATTATAGATCAAAATTATAACCCAGTTCCAGATGACCTAGAAAGTTCAAATTTGGCATGCAGATAGGTAATTAGGTGAATACAAAGGAAAAAAATCAGAAACTGGTAAATTTTTATCATTTTATTATAATTTTTCACTTTAATTGATTATATTTCAACTTATATTGGACGATTACTAAAATTCTATGAAAACGTCGATAGCCACCAATTATCGTTGATCCCCGGCTACCAAGTAGGTCATCTTGTACTGGAGGAAAGTAATATTGTATGAAAACGTCGATACTGACCAATTTACATTAACCCCTTCACATTAGTGTCAATAACAAATAAATATTGCATTGAGCGATAAACACTAGTTGCCATAAACTGTCTAAAGTATATCGTGTTTCGTATTTATTACCTCATTAACTGGGATTTAGTATTAATTATTTTTTCAATTTTAGCGCACACCAACAATGTAAGATCATTAGTTATAAATAATTATTAAATAATAGACATTTCAGTGTACGGCGCGCCGTGCGACGCCAGAACAAAGTGGTGGGAGCGGTGCGATTAAACGTAAACAGCCGCTCTCATAGCGAGAACGTCCTCTCTATAAGGCTGCGATTTATGCTACGAAATTCAGATTTTCTTAAATTATACTTATATATATGTGGTTATATTATTATTACATTCTTTTGGATTAATAATAATTTTAGTATAGTTATAAGTAGGTATATATAGTTAACTCGAGAATGAGAACTCATTGGTAACAAATTGTTTTTCTTGAGAATTCAATAGATAAGAAGTAATTTGTTACGTAAACGTCTTTACGAACTAGAATGATGGACTCGTTCTAGTTCGCACCAACGCAAGTTTCAAATATTAAACAACAATGTATATAAGAACAATTCCCTATTTGCTTAACATATGCTATTACCTATTACTATCCACAAATCACAAGGCCTTAGCCTTGACAGTGCTCTTCTCGACATAGGTTTCTCTATACATATTTAGTAAAGGGCAGGCTTTCGTTGGACTCTCCAGAGTTAAAATCTTAGATGGAGTACATCTTACCAATTTAAATCCAAGTCAAATCAAGGCACACGAGACCTCTATTGTAGAGTACAAACGTCTACGCACATTATGCCGCACCGAGCTGGCCAAATTAAGCATAAACAGAAAACGCGAAAAAAAATTCCAAATACTGAATGAGCAATTCACTTGAATATTTCAAAGGTACAAGAAAATATCAAAAATAACACAAAAAAGAAAATTATACCCCGTAATCGTAGGAAAATACAGTAGTTTAACAAAAACCATTTGGTATTAATTTTATTATAAATAGGTACCGGTACTTATAATTTATGTACAAAAAGTAATGATATCCCATCAGAAGTGAGATCTAAATGGATGCCAAGTTCAATAGTCAGTCCTGAAATTTATTTATAACAATATAAAATATCATTTCTTCTTATAACTTAGGATAATATATTGTAGCTTAAGGTCTGACATGACTAGTTTTCATATACCATATATTATATATATCACATATAAGTGTAATGCAAGAAAATTCATGTAGGTACCTATGTTAAGTAATTATGAGTAGGTGTTAGAAATATTTCTTTTCATGTGCACTGCGCTCGTAGGCCAGAGGTCAATTTCAAATAAAAAAACACGAGGCAACCATAATAACATGATTTTGTATTCAGTACACTACACAGCACGTTGCAAAACTCGTAACTTTTCCTTGAGAAAAAACACAGTTACATAAAAGGACAAAAATGAATTTTGACCTTACAGCCTTGGAGACAAGGATTTTGGAAGGTTGCAATTATGTTAAGTTTCAACGGATACCTACTTAGATTTTTTTAAATGCTCATCACGTAATTTTGCTGGTGGCTAGTTAAGAACACATTATAATATGTGGAAAATTTAAAAGCTATTGTTTATTATGTGACATCATATTTTTAGTGAAATAAAAAATACAATACTTTACTCAAAGCCGGTGTGAGTACATCTATCTTACATTCTATACTATAGACTTTGTGCAAAGGCACCTGCGTGGGTCTGTCACATATATTTCAGGTCTGTCTCACCTATTTACGGTCAGTTTCTTAACTAATGTATTTTGGTTGAGCAGTGAATTTAAAGGGTACAGATGCATTACATCTTAGTCCGCCGGAATAACAACGCATAAGTAAAACTCTGGGTGTCACATGATTACGTGATATTCGTGATAGTTATTGAAGTATTTTGGCGACGGTTATCACTTACCATCAGGTAACCAACTTATCTGCCATTCCGATTACGTACAAAAAGACTAAATAAAAACTTTATGATACATTTTAAAGAACAGAACAACAGAACTGTACACATTTGATAGATGAATCTTTGCAGTCGATAGAAGTTCAACGTTGTGTCAAGAATTAACATAGTTGAATTTTGTGAAACGTCATTATTAATTTATAAAAATTAAAATATTTTATAATAATAAACATGATATCAATACACTGAAAGTTTATTCACATCAAATAGGTAAACGGGATATTTATTATACCAATTATAGGTACTATTATTTATTAACTGCTGATATTTCGAACCAGCGAATACTCGATATAGTAATAACATGGTAAATGAGTACATACAATCTTAATCTTATTTAAGTAAAAAACACCATAAAATCTATTAATAATTCCGTTAGTAATATACATATTAAAAGGTTTACAAATGCAAGCTTCATAAATGGCCTTGTTCAGATAATGCTGAATTAACTTTTAATGCAATTAAGTAATATTATAACTGAACAGACATGACCTTCCCACATTTTTTTATATGTAAGTAACTGTACATACGCATTAATAACAGGCAAAATGATTTCCTTGTCTAGTTCGCTTTTGGCATCGTCAGCGGTTTGTAGTGCTTTACGACATTAAGGTAAGCTTTTTATTATCAGCCGGTTTTAAAAGAGGTTTTATATTCAGTAATATCGTTTTGTGTCGGAACGGTGATCGGAAAGTTGAACTACATAAATTATTTATTTTATTCGGCAACGTAATATTACTTATATAACAATGTATATACCAAATATATAGCATAAAAAAATAAAACATGACATAAAATAATAATATAGTATTTGTTGTCACCACACTCACTTTGTCAATCTGCCACAGTAGTGCTAGCAATTTAATTCTTGTTTTTGACGTTTCGACGCATTTGTTGATATCGATTAATTTTTAATTATTGTCAAATATACCGCTGCTGACAGTACTGTATTTGAAGGGACTTTCTATTAAAGTGAAACGCAGTGCAGTAGAATATTAATAAAATATGTTTACTAATCAAATTATAGTTTTACAATGACATAATATAAAAGGAAGTTGTTTACTTAGCAACCGCGCTTAGCAACGTCAGTTCTAACATTCCCTCCCGTTTCTTTTTAAGGGTCCTATAACTATTCCTTTAATCCAATTTGTTTGTAAAATTTCATTAAATGGGGTCTAAACAATGGTTTTGTGAACATATCTGCAAGTTGTTCTTGCGTTGATATTTGTTCGATGTCTAGTTCACGTTCAGAGATACACTGCCTTACATAAAAATGCTTCAACTTTATGTGTTTCGTTTTTCGGTGAAACTCGAAAGGTGGATTAAGCGCAAGTTTAATAGTGGACTCGTTATCTATGCGCAAAAAAGGCATTTGTAAATTTTCACTTAAATTTCGAAACAAACTTTTCAGCCAAACGATTTCGCGGCACGCCTCACTGGCAGCTACAATTTCTGTCTCTATAGATGACAGCGCCACTGTGCTTTGCTTTGTACTCCGCCATGAGATAGCTGATCCAGCGAACAGACATATCATTCCATTTGTAGAACAACCACTCATTGCATCACCTCCATGGCCAGCATCGCTTTAACATACTAGTCTTTTCTCACTTCTCTTAAATTCGAGTCCAATTTCAGTAGTTCCCTTCAAATAACGAAATATTCTCTTTACTTGTAATATATTCTTCAGAGATGGATTATCTAAAGTTCCAGATACTACACCAATGGCATAAGCAATATCGGGCCTTGTACCAACCATTAAGTAAGCCAGGGATCCTACAGCTTGTCGATAAGGAAAGTTACAGTTTGTTTCTTTATCTGTTATTAAATTATCTTTCATAATCGGTGACCTAAACTTTTTACAGTCTTTCATACCGTATTTTTGAATAATTTTTATAGTATATGCTGATTGATGAACCTT